TTTCGACCTCGTGAGATGTGGCTATTGGAATTATATTATTGTTTTATGTTTGTCTTTTAAATTGTTATAATAGCTCTTTGGGTAACATTAATGAACGAGCCGCTCACGGTGGATATGAATATGTAGAAAACTGAAAAAAAAAATATATATATACCTATTTTTATTTATACTGCATGTATACACTAACGGGTCCAAGCTTTAATTTTGTGGGGGCTTCAGCACGAAAGCTTTTTTTATGTATATATTACGATGATTATTTTGGAAGAAGAAAGAAACTACTACATGAAATGGTATTTAAGTAATTATTGTAGTCCTATTAAATGTAATTAGGGGAACAATACTTTTAGAGGTATTTTTTTATTAAAATATGTTTTACCATTTTTGGGGGGGCTTCAGCCCGAAAGCCTCTCCCCTCCCCTATGCAAACCGAGGCTGTCCTGCACCTAGGAAATTTTCCTTGAGAGATTGCAATAATGGATTGGTTTAAGTTCAGGAATAGCTCTGTCTCATTGCTTAACTATTAAACAGGAAGAAAGTTTTCCAGGAACTAGCCAAAAATCTCTAAAAATCGTTCGCTAATATTACTTGTTCTCCGAATCACTAGCTTATCCAGGATTTAATTTCGGGGAGGTTTCAGCCAGAAAGATTTATATATATATAGTTTTTTTTTTTTTTTTTTTGGTTGGCACTACAGACCATGAAGTTCTTTGTCCGTGAGATGTGATCTCCTCACAGTCGTATGTTGGTTGCGGGAGCTCATATAGCCTGGAGGGGGTCACCCAACCTCAGGTTGCTACGAACCATGGTGTCCATGGTGCAGCGGCAGGCCAGCATCAGCTCCATAACCGATCCCTTTGGAGCCAACCTGGCAGTGTCCTTCCCACCGACTCACTCGGGTTCATGAACAGTGACAAATCTGTCTAGATCCATGGATTAGGACTGCTCTGAGTCAGCAGGCGCAGGAGGACCTATATTTCTTTCCCCGAAACAGACTGTCCATGGACCGAAGCAGAGACTCGAAGGGGAGACTCGAGCAGCATGACTTTCCCTGGTGGACAGCCATCCATTCAAGTACTAACCACGCTCGACGTTGCTTAACTTTGATTACCTATTGCAAGCTCCTTAGCCCGTACAGCTACCCCAGCCCCTGTGTATAAATATATCTGTGTATATGTATATATATATATATATATATATATATATATATATATATATATGTATATGTATGTATATATGTGTATGTATGTATATACCTGGTGTTTTAAGTGATTCTTTAAGTTCCTAACGAATGTAATTATACGAACAGTAATATTTTTAGAGATAATTTTTTTTTTCATAAGAAATGGGTATATTTTACCATATTGGGGGGGAGGGGTAGCCTGAAAGCCTCCTCCACACATATTCGTGGCTGTGCGCCGAATGTATTATGGTGCACCGAAGGTGATTATATTTTATGTCAGAGTTTTCTATGAAGTAAACTCTTCAATTTAATTTATACCGGGACGCGAATTCTTGACTATTTTATATCAGCTTGTCTCATATATCAGGTTGCACGGCAACAGCGGTGCTGTGCACACGCGTTAGCCCGTTCGGCCACTCCGCATGTACATAATTACACTTGCTGAGGTTTGTTCCATATTCCATATAATCCATTCCGTCAATTTGTGCTCTTCCTCCTCAAAAATTAAAAATTCCTTCGATACGTGGCGCCCTCAAAAATTGTGATGGCGCAAGTTGCGCCATGAAACCCTCCTGAAGGCACCTCTGTCCTCCATCACCACTAGCGAATCAAGGATTTAATTTTGTGAGGAGTTTCAGACCGAAAGCTTTTTTTTGTTTTTTTTTCATTTATATAACGATAATTACTTTAGAAAAAAAAGAAAAATACTAACTACCTGTATGAAATGTTGTTTAAGTGATACTTGAAGTTCTATTAAATGTAATTACACGAACAATAATACTTTAAAAGTAAATTTTTTTTTTCTATAAAACATGGTTACATTTTACCATTTTGGGGGGAGCTTCAGCCCAAAACCCCTCTCTTCCCCCGTAAATCCGCCTGTGTCCATCACCACATATATTGATCTTGGCCTTCATTTGTTTGACTCTATGAACCGTTCTTGTCATGTCTGATATGTACTCCAATGGTCCGACCTAACTATCTCTTATATGTTTATACAGTATTATCTTTTGATTGATGAGTATAGTTGTGTCATTTAGCAACTCAACACAGTTGAGCAGCCGTGCAATATTATTATTGTAGTTATCTCTGTCTCACACCTCATATGTCAAAATCCATAGCTGCTAAGAGCCGGAAAAGGAGTTTCTACTTCCTTATTCAGATGGCCGTTGCTTGGGTAAGACGACTGGTGCGCTGCGGTCTAGGGTGCCCCACGGTTCGGTGACGAAAATAGAGAGAAGATGTAATATTCATGGAAACAGAGATATTTCTGTCCGCATTCCACGTTCTGATTCATATCTTTTCACCTCCGCTAGGTCTAACACTGATTAGAAGCGTAGAAAGAACTGCTAACGATTTGTAGCGAGAAGGTCGCATATAACAGTAATTATTGCATTTCTCAATTCATTCATCATAACAGCAAAGCTGAAGTTTAAGAGTATTTTCGGGATTCAGACGTGTTCTTGCATGGTAAAAAAACACGTCAATTTGAGCCACAGGCGGATTTACGAGAGGAGCTTTCGGGCTGAAGCCCTCCCCCCTCCCTCCAAAATGGTAAAATATAACCATGTTTTATGGTAAAAAATATTAAAAAATTATGTCTTAAAGTATTATTGTTCGTTTAATTACATTTAATATGACTTCAAGAACCACTTAAACACCATTTCATATAGGTAGTTAGTATCTCTCTGTTTTTCCAAAGAAATTATCGTTATATATATATGAAAAAAAAAAGCCTTCGGGCTGAAGCTCACCCCAAAGTTAAATCCTGGATTCGCTAGTGGTGATGGAGGACAGGGATGCCCATAAGGGCGCAGACTTTCGATTTTGATTGAAAAGAGTAATGGACAACAAAAGAAAAAGATGGCGAGAGTTTTTATTATTTGTAAAAATTCAACATAATTATTGTGAAACGAACTAATATAGTATTGAATAATTAAAATTAAATTCTTTATATTTTTTTATAGTTGTAAGGATTTTTATTTATTATTTTTTATTATTATTATTTCTTAATGATATTTACAACTGTATTAAATAAATACATCTAGTAAATCTGAACATAATGGATATAATGACGTGAACACACTTGCTGAGTAACTACCCAATGGTAGCACTCTAACGATATATCTACATTAGGAGATCACCCGGCCATCTTCTTTTCAGATGCCTCGGAGGGTTATGTAATTTAAAACTTATTTTTTAGAACTTGTTTCTTGAAAAATATTACAATATATCTCAAAGGACATTCATAATAGTGTTCAGAGATCACAATCAAACTATATTTAAATAATAATAATAATAAGGCTTAGCGAACCCGAAGGTTCGATGCCGACACCACCAATCGCTTGTTACACACCTCCCTCCACCGTTCGCCGTCCAAACCCAGTCCCTTCAGATCGGCTGTAATGCAATCTTCCCACCTTCGCTTCGGTCTACCCCTCGGACGCTTACCATTCGGCACAGCAAATATTAACCTTTTAGGAATTCTCTCGTTACTAAGCCCAACAACTTTACAAGCCCATTTGATTCGCCGCGATGAAATTACCTCAATTATATTATCCGGATACAGCTCACGCAATTCGGCGTTGTGTAACCGTCTGAACTCTCCGGTTAACTCATCCTTCTTCGGTCCGAATATGCTACGCAATACTTTATTTTCAAAAACCTTAAGACGCTGCTCGCGCGGGCTCATTACCGCGTATGGGGAGCGTCCCACGGGTGGCGGATGTGGGGATGGTCGGTGGATATTCCTTGGAAGTTCCTCCCGGCTAAGTCCGATGGACTCGCTGACCAACAATGAGAGGGGCCCTCCAGACTTGCTGGAGGGAGGGGACCTCCAGACTTGCTGGAGGGAGGGGACCTCCAGACTTGCTGGAGGTAGGGGCCCACCAGACTTGCTGGAGGGTGTGACGTAGGATTGAACGCCCTACTCACATATCTTTAGTTCACCAAACACCACAAATAATCAAACTATATTTACAATAAATAAAAATTAATGAATAAAAACACATATGTACACTATTTACAATCAGGCATAGGAACTCCGAGCCAGACTTCCCTCCAATTGTGGAGGAAAAAGCAATACTCCAGGATATCTCTGCACTCTCTCAACCGAGTCACTAGGACTAAACCCAGTGGGGATTGAGCGAGAACACTTTAGCCACATATACTCATTTCGTGAGTGGAGAATCTGGCAATTGCTAAAACTCCAATATATACAAACTATAAAAGGTCACGGGGCTATTGTCGGACCATAAAAGTAACACTTAGGTATCAATAAAAGAGTTGCAAGCCTACTATTAGGCCATAGAGCCTAGCCAGCTAGTCGAATTTTCTTAATCGATTTTAGTTTACACATTTTATTTATGTAGCTTATTTATTATTGATTTTATTATTTTTTTTTTTTTTTTTTACCTCCAATTATTGGGGAGGAGGGTGAAACTATTTTCTCACTCCCTCAATATTTTTATTGGGAGGGCGCATCCCAAGATGGCCTAACAATCCAAAAAGATATTTTACTAGTTTAAAAAAATCTCTTATAAATTACGTTTCTTGACCTTAAATATAAAAATAACACAATATTTATTTTATTTAACATTTGAAAAAAAAAATGTTAAATATTTGCAAGAGTTCGATCACAGTAATCAGGTGGCTCAAGAGCCATAGAAAATATTCCTGTTTTTAAATTATATGTATAATTATGTCTTTTAATTAACAATATATAATTATATTATTAAATATATTTTATTTACCTTTCCAATACTGTTATTGTTTAATATTTTGATTTGTTTATAATATGTATATCTGTTTTATTTATCAGGTACAAAACTTCCTTCCATCAATTTCTGCCGCTATCGGTAATTACAAAACCCAAAGATTCGTTTGGGGAACAGCGATAGCGATTCACGCTCTGCCTCGCTTCATGTTTGCTGCGATTTACAGGCAGTACTACAGAGATGTACTTACTGAAAAAGCCCAGAAGTTGGCGACGACCGCGTGCATACTAAATGTCATTGAGAATCTAGCTCTCATCGGGCTGACATTCATAACTTCTGCCTATAATTATGGTAAGTTATCACCAAGTCTGTTTAAATAAGATAAAACATTTAATGAAGTATTTGCGATTCATCATATTATTTTCCAACATAAATAGTTGTAGCTAACAGCTGCTAGTTATAATCCAAAGTATATATAAACCAGGAAACAAAATGTTGGTAACTCATGAATTTTGTCCAACTACAGATACTTTTATCTGAAAACATGTTTTCAACAGTTTACGCATCCAGTCCAATTCTGGATTAAAAATAGAAGAAACACTTACTGCTGGTGTTAGTACTGCTTTCATTGTTATAGCTGAAAATACCAAACAATGGGAAGGAGGTTGACGGGGGAGAGACTTCTTAAAAATTGGAACAAGCCATGGCGAATTCCATCATGTGCACAAAATCTAATTTTGAAGATATTCTTTATCTTTGAATATTTCATTACATTAGTTTTCAAATGAGATGCCATTTTATAATCATCCTTTTTTAAAGTTATTGTCTAATACGCCTTGCATTTAATGTCCGACAATGCAGAAGCAGCTCTGAACATTTCATTCAACTTTATCATGAGCTTTTTTATCCATATTATATTTGCTACGAAATATAGCAACTTATGAACTACATTATTAAAATAATAAAATATGTTCAATCAATTAATAATGATAATGGCCGCAGTGCACTCATGTCACACTTAAAAAAAAAACCCTGTTTTTGCCTATTTTTTTACAAAACACCGTACACATCATGCAATGTTTTCCACTTGAAATGAGCAACAGAGGTATAAGCAACAAATTTCTTTGATACTATGCCACCTCACCTGATGCCTGTATCGTACCAACAAGTTCCTTGCTAGTAGTATGCATGCCAACAACATTGTATATCCAGTTATGTTCTAAGGTATAGTTAGTCATACTGATGATTACATTTTTATGGCTTGAGCTTTTTTTTTTTTTTTTTTTTTTTTTTAATAATTATTCTGTTTTTTAAGAAAAGTTATTGATTTCTATGTTAGACAGTAGAACTGAATTTTTCTTGGTTTTGTTTCAGCTATTCATGAAAAATGTTTCATGGCATTCATGGTTACTTCAGAGCTCTATATGGCTCTTACTTGTTTCCTCCTTACAAAGTCGAGGAAATTACCGGCCGATAACGTCGAAAGTCGTTCGCTTCGTTACAAATACCAGCTGATAGCCATCAATATGACATCCTTTGCCGCAGCTGGTTATTTCTTCATCAGGCACAATCGACATTGTGAACCTTATGGTATAACTTTTTTTTCTATTGGATAATTATTTTTTATATATTTCCATTTTTATTTATTTATTCAACCCATTTTATTTCAATGAAGTTCAGTGTATTGAATGATTCGGATTCGGAATGAAATGATTGACACCATCATCATTCATTCTTGAAAAAACTCTTATAGATGTTGGTAAGTCAGAAAAAGAAAGAAAGATGTTAATATGTAGATAATGGTTAACATTGTAGAGCACAGATATAAACTAAACTCATTATTCAACTTAAAATACCAGGCCAAATGGCATGTATTAATTGTATAAGATCAAAACTTCGCCATTGTATACTGTAATATCTCTTTATTTTTTAACTAATAATAAAACTCCTGGAAAGATCACTTCATATTGTAGCGATACTTCCTAAAAAAATAAAAAGTTGTTAAATAAAAAACAAAATTATAAGAATATTGGTATATTAAACTGAAATTTATAATTATTGTATCTCAGGTATGGGTTACAGACAATCAGATCAAAAGATTCAGGCAGACTAGAATTATTTACATTAACCACTGTTTGCTTTTAAAATAAACTGAAGTATGAATTGGCAAGCTAAACTCTTTCCTATAAACACTGTTTCTTCCTTTATGGCACTGAATTCATTTGTCTTCAAACACTTTCATATATTCAACCCAAGTTCCCTGGGACAACTTGTCTCTCAGGCAAACAACAACTGATCTTTGTTCATCTCCTAACAACCATTTTCCTCTTTGGAAAACTCCAGAACAGCCATTTTTCTTTTTCCTGAACTAGTGAAACTATATTTCTAATCTTAACATCCCCTGACATTAGTATAACTAGATTAGCTTGCCTTTTAACTGTTTAACATTAATTTACTAAACCATTTTTCCCAAATTACGATAAAAGTGTATATTACAATACATCGCTGCCCTTCTGATACAAATAAAAACTATTACATTTAAGCCGAACATTTTCATTTTAAAATAGGATGTAGGGTGCTGTAAATGCTTTGTGTGAGAGGAGTTGCTAACGGTTGACAATGCTAGATAGCAGTCATTGCCGCGGCCAGTACTAGTGAAATAGTACCTTAAGGTTACCATTAACCTTTGATTTGTTTTGTATCAAGAATGTAATCTCCCATTCCTAAGAAGAAAATTTAATTTATGGAAATCAATAGCGAATCCAGGCTTTAATCTTAAAGGACTTAATTTTTATTTTATTGTTTTTTTTAAATGACAGTAATTAAGGTTTGATAACAACTAAAATAAAAACTGTTTGCAGAAATAATAATACTTTTAGAGATAAATTGTTTATATTTTTTTCTTGATAACTAACTGAAATGCATGCATTATAATTTAAAAAGACAACATATTGTGATTGTTTATTTAGTTGGTTGCGATCACTAACAGAAACCAATATGGACCAATGAAAAATATATATGTATATATATTTCCAGGCTTCAGCCCGAAAACCCTCCCTCCCTTGAATCTGTCAGTGGTGGAAATATAAAGGCCATTTTCCTTCCACTGAACGTCACCTCTCTTGCTTAACTGTGTAGAGACTAATATTTTTTTTGTGACTAAAATGCCTCACATGTTTCAGAGATTTCAAATCTGATTTCTTTCTTCTTTTTTTTTCAGTGTACTCAGCATTTGCATTTTTTGAATACATAGTCGTTCTGACTAATATGGCTTTTCATATCACCGCTTCGTTAGACTTCCATTCGAGGCAACTTGTCATCGACGAGAACGGATTGGACATCAGCTGACCCCCGGTAGTATCTCGGGATCCCGGTGGATAACATGAGGAGACGGGAGCCCCGACGGGGATCTACGTTACGATCCTCGCTGACGAGGGCTCCCGCCAAGAGTCGGACGATTCCATCTACGGCTTTGGCGCCGATTGGCTCATTGCGGTAGATCCTCGCTCCGACTGGAGGCTCTCCTCTGTCCTCACACCTGCCAATTCGTACGTCATTTCTGTACTTAAGTCCTGATCCTTTCCTATTAAAGGCGTCAATGTATAGGACGCCTTAAACCTCCTGCTTTCTATTTATGTTATACTGAATGTTGTCTTATAGCTTATCCAGGCTCTCTTGTGTACATATACTGTGTTCTCAAATATTTTTATTTCCAGTGCGGGAGGATGAACTTTACATATATAAATATATATGTTTATTATAAGTACATAATGATATATTGGTATTTAAAATTTCTCTTTCCATTTTTGTGATTTATAAAACTTACTTAAGCTATATAAGTATTGGACACATAAACTTTGCTATCGTCAATTTTATTGATGTTTATTTATGCAAGCTATGGCATTGAAAGCTTCTGCTATTTATTACTGAATTGCTGCTTTTTAAATGTATTGTTTTATTTTATATGTATGTATTAATTTTATTTTTTTTTTTTTTTTTTCTTGGCGCTTAATTGTTAAGATAAACATTTTCGTTATATTAAAAAAAAACTTTATGACAGCTATTTATCCCCCATTAATTTGGATTCAATTAATTAAAACTACCAGTCAAATTTTTAATTACATAGCCCTGGTCAATTAGTATGAACTATCATTGCCATAACTTTGATAATTAAATAGTATATGATATCAATTACATTTGTATTATATTATAATTAAAATTGAAATAATTGTTGATATGTTGAAGATAAAATTGTTGCAGGAAAAATTAATTACATATGTATAACCCAATTTTTAGTGGTTTATTTGTGATAAGTAGCTTAATATGTTTATGTGTCCTTTTTTATTTATTATCTTGAAAGACATGTGTAAATGAGTACTTAAATGTTATTAATTACGTCAGATAATTTATTTTTTTAATTTTTTGAAGAAAAAAAAATTTATTCTTATTGCGGACCAGTTTTAAAAATGTCCTGCTTTTAGGAAACAAGAGAAACATAATTTTTTTAAATGAATCATATTTTTTATCAATTTTATTCTGAAAGGATTTTCTGTTCTTATTTATTATAAATTTTAGACTGAATAAATATTATATGTACTTTTTATTTTTTTTTTTTTTATAAATATAACAGATGTCTCTCGGGGTTTGTGAATATCATAGCTATGGATCAAGGAGAACTGAGCTTTCAACTGTCAAATTTTATTCAAAATTTTTAAATCATAAACTAGTCAATTCATCAAAGCTCTTAATCAATTATGATTAACCAAAAATTGTGTTTTGCCTATCGCACTGGAGTGTTTAATCCTTTTAAATCATTATAAAAATAATGTCAGATAAAGTTTTTTTTTTTTTTTTTTTTTCATACTACGCACATGTTTATTTCAGCTTAATTATTTTAAAGCCATCTGATATGTATTATTGTTAATTTTTTAATGAAAAATTTATCAGTAACATTGATTTCTTATATGATAATGTACTTAAGTTTATTTTATTTTTTTTTTTTTTAGTATTGTTATCTAAACTGCGGTTCCCTTTTAAAGCTGGTGCGTAATGATTTTTTTATATCTATTTTTACCAAATTTGTTACGATGTTGGTGTTGATTTTTTTGTGCATAGTATTGTATGAATTGTATTGTAAGGAATCGATGGTATTATAATTTAGGTCTATGATGTATTATAGATTAAGGTGACTGCACTGCCATCTTTGTGTTTATTATGCCATAATGGTTTTTAAAAATTATAATTTCATTTTTGGGAATGAATCTTAAAAAACAAAAGGTTTTATTTTAAATAGATAATTTATATTAAGTCATGATTTTTATAAAAATACTTTATTGTATATCGATTGGACAATCGGTACCGAGCCCAATATTCCTTCATAATTTATTGAGTAAATAAAAAGTAATTTATTAGAATTTTATATATTTAAAAAAGTGTGTAAACAAGATTCACTTAATCAGGGTTCACACGATGAAAGTTATCTCTCGAAATTAAGACCATTAACAAGAACATTAAATGTGCAAGTTATTTATATATTTTTTGGAATGTTAAACCTTTCTTATATATCAAATTACCAATGTTCAATCGATATACATCTTCAGCATTAATATTTTTTTTTCAGATAAAATTAAAAAATAGTTTCATTTTCTGCTTATTAAAAGAGTCAAGCACAAATGTTAATTTTTAAGTATACTTTTAAATTTCGAGTAAATTCAATGAAATTATTATGAAGTGTGAATATTAATGTTGTGTTCATGTTAGTTTTTTTTTTTTTTTATTATTATAAATCGAGCTACTTTGGTTTTTCTTAAAATAAATCATCTATATAAAATGTTAATCATTAAATGTGTAATTTCGGTCATATTCTATCTAAAAATTGTCAGTAGCTATAGTTTTTCCTCCTCATTTAACTTCGTCGTATGTTGAGTAAATTAATAGGAAGTATAACACCATTTTTTTAATGAAATTTCATATATTAGTATAACTATGAATGATTTTAATAATGTGTGAAATTAAATCTTCCACGTAAAGAAGTAAAAAATCTACAAGAGACAGAAAATCGAAGTTAGATTATGGTTGCTAAAATTACTAAAACACAGCTTTATGTCTCTAAAATGTAGTTTAAGAATAAAAAAAGTTGTCATTGTTTTACTATGGCCTCTTCAGGACTGAAAATAAAATTAATTCAAGATCACGTCACTCCACGACACTCTGGACAGGAGTCTCCAAGCTACAGCCCACATTTGATTACACGGTAAAATTTTAAAAACTGCATAAAAGATATGAAATTTATTGAATACTTAATAGTTGATCGTTGTGTATTTTAGAGGAAGGAGATGGTCCGAGGTGGTGGTCATAAATAGACTAAAATAGTGGAAAAAACTATGTCTTCTTCGGGGGTAGAACGGACAAGATACAAAAGGATATAGAAAATTGTGGAAGTGCCATAATATTTAGATAAAAATTATAAACAAAGTGAATAAACTTATTGAAATTATAAACAGTAAGTATAAATAGACTAAAATAGTGGGAAAAAATTATTTTGTTTCAAGCCAACGTTTTACCAACCAACGCCAACATATTTACTGTTTATAATTTCAATAAGTTTATTCATCTTGTTTATAATTTTTATCTAAATATTATGTATCTTGCACAATTTTCTATATCCTTTTGTATCTTTTCCGTTCTAGCCCTGAAGAAGACCTGTAAAGTTAGATCGAAATGTTGGCTTGAAATAAAATAGTTTTTCCCAGTATTTTAGTCTATTTATGACTGCCATCCCAAACCATCTTCCTCCGATTTGAAATTTAGTTAATCTAGTTTTTCATCACTCATACATGAACTTATTACGACATTTATTGTATGAGTTTTTTCTCTTAGAAAGTTCATTTCACCGTTGAAGTGTCATATATAGAACAAGATATTTTTTTTGGCCCAGGGGACATTGTGGAAGCCTATATATGTCCTGCGGACCAAAAAGTTTGGAGATTCTTACCCTAGAGTATGCGATTGGATGTCATGGAGTGATGATCTTGGATTTCTGTCCTGACGACGCATTGATTGGTGAAATGTTGACTTTTTTTTTAATTCTTTACCTGCATTAGAGAAACCAAGTTGTGTTATTGGAATTCTTCCAATTATAATGTAACATTAAATCTTACTGGAAAAATTATCAAAGTTTCTTTTAAAGTCGGCTAGTGATATTTTCATAAGTTTATGTGTTAGTTATGTTTTTGTAAAAACATTCACCTAAAATTAATTTATTTTTTCTATCTTTTCATGAAGGATCTTATATAATTTACCTATTAATTGATAGAACACAAATAAATAATAAAATTATAGTCTTTCTAAGACAAAGTAGTGAATTTATCAGCTTCTATTTGAATATTACGATCAAAAGTACAATGTTTACTAATTAGTTTCTTGACATTGCTTTGTTTAAATTTTTGTTACTGTATAATAGACCACTTCATTAATATTTACTCTTCATTTTATTTATTGAATAACTACTCAAATATATATATTTTGTGGCATAATATCGCTACCAATTAGGTACTCTGTCTCAATAAACGGCATAAATAATAAATGGCACTATCGATCTTGGTTCTACGTTTGAATCAAGAAAGCAGTTTTGGCCTTATTACCACAATGTTATTTATTGACTTAATAAGATTGTATTTAATGAATTAATGGAATTCGTTTGAAAGTGTTTTTGGGTGATGGGTGGTTTTACTTTTTTTGGTAATAATTAGAGGTATTCAGGTTTTAAAAGTTGGTTGATATTTTTTGCTCATATCGTTCTTTAAGCATGTGTCAGTTGTAATTTTTTTTTTTTAATATAATATATTAAGAATATATTTTTTTTTTAGCTATTAGATACATCTGTAAAGTAAGTTCAACCCGTTTGCTATCTTATTAACTGTTATATAAGAGTTACCGTTATATATGTTAAATTGTTTTGTATGCTATCGCTAATGTTTATAGTAAATTTAGTGCTTCCTATAAATAAACCTTAAGATCCTGTTCCTTGATAAAAGTTAATAAAAGGTACTATCCCATCTCTGTAGTGCTTTTGTAAATTATGTTGGTGCTGTTCTGTTATTTATTATAAGTTTAAAAATATAAAATTGTTAAACTGGATGTCGTTAAGTCTGAAGTATTAAAATATATGGTAAAGTGCATGTTGTTCAATGAAGTGAATGCTGTGTTTTCAGGCTGTTAAGTTATTCTTTAATTTAATATCATTTGCTATTACTAGTCATTTATATTTTTGTTTTACAATAACAAGTTATTATTTATTATATTTATCTATGGTTGCATAATCCTTCATCAAGAAATGCCAGGTTTTTATTTCTTCAATAGAAATACAATGTAATGATATAATGTTCTATATAAAAAGTTATATGTATTTTTATTTTTATTTTTTCTGATCCTCCACTGTACAAATGCACTCTTATTATTCTGGTGTTTTCGGATACATCCGAGAATGGAAGATTAAAAATGAATAAAATTGAAAATACTCTTAATCACACAGTGCATAAATTTCTGTATTACACATTTCTTCAATATTTTTCTGTGCACTTTTTGTACACAGGTTTCATCTTATAAAAGTTTTTCGATTTTTAATCCTCCATTCGATACTATCAGATTAAATGAGGGTGTACTATAAAAATATAAGTAATGTCTTCATTATTTTTCATGAATCAAGGTTCAGGGTATCTATTAGGTAGCCATACACGTAAAGTCTTTTTAGGTGGGCCAGGTTAAGAACTAGAGATAGTAGTTATTGTAAAGCTGTTTCTTTTCTCATCAGCCTGTTAAAACCGATTATGGAAATAGAACTTAAATAAAAAATATGATATTTTAAACATAATCTTCATCATACGTGGTACAAAAACCCGCTTAGTTAACCAGAGCTTCATGAAAGAGTTTTCATCATCTCTATCCTACCTGGCCGCAATCTAATTTAACACGCCCAGCATATTGTTTGCATCACCTTTCCACCACATTTAAGCTTCCATATTTGGACGGTCATAATATCTGGCCTCTTTGTCAGCGTGTTGAGATTCAGATTACTATTTTGCCTCCATTTTTCGACTACTTTTAATGGATCATATATTCGGTATAAAACTTAGCTCTGAACCACCAAGAACATTCGTTCTTCCGTTTTAAAGATATTCTATACTTCAGAATCATAGAACAAAATACAATGAGAATATGTGGTTTGGGTGATTGAAAAAAAAACTTTTCGTTCAATAATGAATAAAGGTGGGGAGCAGGGTTGCCGAGCAGGCTAACACATTGTTAAAAAAACATGTTGCCTGGTAACCTGATGAACCAAAGATTACGAGTTCTCGTTGCTGGAGGGACTTTTAACTCTGGCATTAATCCTTTCCCCTGGTCCCGGAAAACTACGGACAGCGAGGAAGGGGAGAATTAAAATAATGAATTCTGACTTATTTTTTTATTTAATTTTTAATGTTATTCTTAATAGTTTTTTTTTTTAAAGGCCTGACTATTGAACTGTAACAGATTATAAAAATCATAAACTAGGCCCATCTACGAACAATAGTACATGTATGGCCAGCTAATAAATAATCTATGACCCATCTAAAATATCTGCTCCCGTTTGGCCAGATATTATTATAAACTGGCTTACTAAACGAATACCAGCATATTTTATTTTTTTTAACTTTATTATGGTATTTATTACTTTTTAATGACATTTTTATCATTTTGACAACTTATGTTAGTAACTTAATTTTGTAGCCTTAACTTATTTTTTTTTCTCATATATCTTCTCTTTTAATAATGAGTTTACATCTGAAATCATCAAATACTGAAGATAATTATTCTTCATGGAAATAAATTTTAATGAATTCACCTATACTTAATAATAGATGTTATTTTTACCTATTGCAATCTAATTTTGTGAAGTAACCTATTTAGTTTTAAACCTAATGTTATGATTTAATGGTTTATGCATGCATGAAAAAGATATTGAATATAAAAATTTATTTAAACTAATGTGGTACTTACTGTTTACTGTTCAAATTATATTAAAATAGCCGTAACTGTTGTATAGTAAGTAGCGTTATAAGATGTTTTGTAAATTATTTTGATATAATAAACCTTTGTTGTTATGGAAACATTTAATGTAAAATTATATTTAATCTTTATGCTTGGGTATAATATAATTATCAACTTATCTCATGGCGAAAATGATTACCCATTATATACTTTTGTATTTAAATTGAAGTTATGTTATAATTTTTGGAATAATAATTGTATAAGTTTGTCGAGGTGATGCCAAGGCCTTAAGAATTATCATTTATTGAAATGGACCTGTGTATAAATATAAATTTCATACTTCTAAAAAAAAAGTATTTTTGTTTAACATTGTTACATAATATTACATCTTATAGCCATTATCCATAATAATATAACTGTAAATATATATGTGTTCGACTGTAAATGTATGTAAAGTTTCAGTATATATTTGTATAAAAATATAGTCCATTAAAAATATGTATCACTTTATGTGGATGTTTGTTTATATGTAAGTAAATGTATTGGTATTTTCTGGAAGTATTGTTTATAAAAAGTGTAAAAATTCAAAAAAACACAAAATTATTGCATTTAATTATAAATCTTCTTTAAAATATATATATAAAAATAAAAATGTAGGTAATTTTTAGAAGCCTTATTAGTCTTACCTTCTTGTGATATGAACATATATTTAAAAAAAAAAAAAAAAAATGGTCTTGAATCTTCATTATTATAGCCGATGTTTATTTAAGATGTTTTTAAAGAATGCAAAGAAAAGAGAAAAAAAAATGGCTTTTTACAACTTATTAATGGTTTCCTAAAATAGGTGCTTGTTGTATCCGTTTTCCTTCAGTGGCTGTTAAGTACATTATTTTTACATGTGTACATGTATATATTATAGAATGGTTAAGCTGACATGAATTTTGTATTTAATTATTTGCACGTATAGCCTGAGTTCTTTGCGGGACTTCAGTACCATCCTCTTATGCACTTATATCACTGATGCTGCCGACGATTGTTGTTCTGAAGAGTCCAAAGTGTAACCATAAATGTTATGTGAATTTTATCTTCTCTAGAATACATAAAATCAGTTGTAAAGTTATTTCTTATAATTTATTTCATGTCAAAAGTATACCAATTAGATTCATACAAATAATTTTTTTTTTAATTATTAATTTTTATAAAGGAGATGGAATTTTTTATTTAATTTATTGTATTCTTAATATTTTCTTTTGGATCTCCTTAACTCGATGTAAATATTTTTATATACATTTCATTTTGTAAAGTTATTTCATTACTTTTTCATACATTGTATCTGGCTTGAAATTTATACCAAACAAATCAAGTCCTATTCTTATCTTCATAATTTAAGAATTGTGGTCACAACATTAAATTTTTGTAAGATTGCAATTGTAAACTTAACAAATATAGGATATAATTTTTCTTTTCTTTCTTTTTTTTAATCCTTTTCTGATTTTGAACAGCTTTAAAGGTTGAATAATTTATTTTTAACTTCAGAATTCCAGCTACAACAGAAAATACTATAATTAATTGTGATGTAGAGGTGGTTGACCGTTGATATAATATGAGAAGGAGTTAGTCGGGGGTGCGGTCAAATAAATAATAAATTAAAATATATTAATTATTTTAATTAATATAATTTTATTAAAATAATTAATATATTTTAATTTATTATTTATTTGACCGCACCCCCGACTAACTCCTCATATAATTAATTGTATTCATTACATTTCCCACGTTGATCAAATTTCTTATATGTACGAATAATTTCCTTTAAAATATATCCGCATCGATCCAATAAATAATGAATAGGACAACCAGAATAATGATGGTTAAGGACTTTAATTTCTTATTAAATTGAATTCAAATTTTAATAGCACCAATTATTAAAAGTTAAAATAAATGTATTTAGTATATTGTAAAGTTTTCATGAATTGGGGAGAACATAATATTTTATGTTTATGTATTAAATATTATTATTATACATTATTAGCCTTGTTCTAATACAATGAATCCATGCAAGGAATATGTATAGTTTATTGATACACTAAATTTGAGGCTAAGCGTTGGCCACTAAAATTCTTGAATCACCAGATACAGCACTCGTTTGAACTCCTAGGTGAGTTTAAATTTATTTCTTGGCCATAGGATAAATATCAACCTTTTCACTCTGGTTAGAACAGGTTGATTTTATCTCTGGTACAAGTCCCCTGTGGCCAAAGATAAACAAAAAAAGAAGACACACACCATATTTATGGGTACATTATTTATTTCTATTACTAAAATACGCATGCAGCTCAAAATACAAGTATTTTTATTGTAAATATCCCGAGACATTTAAAATGGATAGTTCAAAAGAACAAAAATATGTACTTGCTGTTTATTTATTTTTTTTTAAATAACGAAATTTACAACTGTAATTAATAATAAATACAACAAGTAAATATGAACAAGTAATATGACATGTACAACATGAGGAGAAACTACCTATTGGTAGCACTCCAATGCTGTTTATTTTATTTTTTAAAAGAAATTTTGCCATCTGCACAGTCTAAACCAGGTATCTTCAAAGTATAGCCTGTGGGCCTAATTCGGTCTGGGAGCATATTCAATCCAGTCCACAAAAGTTTTATTTTATTTTATTACATTATAAAATATATTAAATTAATTAAATCACTTAAACACAAGGTCACAAATGTTATTGCATGAAGTTTCTCTAAGAAAGTTCATAACACAACTAAAGTGCCATTTATAAAACAAAGTTGTTTTCATCACAAACTATGGCCTGCTTTACTATAGTGGTAGTCTCAATGTGGCCCATGGAAGTTGGAAATCCCAATTGGAGGAGACCGATGGTCTAAACAATCGAGTGGTTTATCTTTATGACAGAAGTGTATTAAAGTAGATTTAAAATTTAATAAGTATGGGTAAGCAGGAAAGAAAAAGTCCTAGGATGGCAGAGCAGGAATTAGACAGATGTTACTGATGAGAATAATCCTTCCTGCATTACCACATTCTGAATGGAACCACTCAGACCTTTTGGAAACCAAATTCTCTGTCCAGGAAAGGTAGGTAAGTGAGTCCTAGAGAGATAAAAGAAACATCTTGAGGCGCTGCTTTTTTTTTTCACCTTCTTTTATTTATTTTTTGATTATCACTACACATTAAAAACATTTCTCACTGACATATCAAGACCTTATAAACTAAAAACAGGAGAGTACTGCTTTCAATCTCTGTTTTCCAGGAAATGATCCAAAATTTGTTTTAAAGGACTATAGCTCTACAAGGTACTGTACAGGACAAACTAAAGTTATAGGGTAATGTTACTTGAGTAGCTTCATTATACAATAAAGTAATCAGTTGATAAGAGGATTCTGCCTTACTATCATCAACAAGACAAGTAATATGTATATGATTAAAAAAAAGATGAGTGCAGCAGCTTAGAGTTAGCCGTTTGCACAATTAAATAGTGCAATGAATGAAGTAAATGATGTTAGCTTTCATAAATTATAATACATTTCATAAACTCAATAATACACTGATATATTACTGTTCAAATGTTGGATTGCTTTTGAAAATCAACTATATTTCGTTTTATATGACAATGGCTGTTCTATCTCTGTTTTAGGGGAAAAAACGAATATAATTTCATAAATAATTTAAGATTATAATAAACGACTTATTTAAGAGTAACTGTAGGCATACCCCCCCCCCTCTCTCCCATCCCTTCTGTTTTAAGATATTAACTGTCGAAGTAATTCAAAATAAACTAACTTATTGCTAAAATTGAATACCAAACTGATAGATAGGAATCATAATTTTAGTATTTTAATGTTCTGAAGCAATAATATAAATAGTTGGATCTCCATTATTTTTTTTTATGATCGAACGTATTTTTCATCCGACTTTGAGAGATAATTAAATAAGTATTTCTTATCTTATTTTTACTGAATACTTTTTTCTTATTTTAAGGCAATATTTAATTGGACAGTAATAGTAGTAAAAACGTGCAAAAATCAATTATTGAATTCCGATAGTTCTTATCGATTATTAGCTAGAAATTATTGTTTACTTTCGTTTTGGTTCAGGTTTTGTAACATTTATTGTGGGATTGTTTATACATCTAATAAAGGTTTCTGTTGTTCAGATTATGAAAGTTAAAATCACCAGTAAGTCGAAAAAAACATTATTATAACATAATCCTTATTAAATAATTTAAATTAAAATGTCCTTGTCAATTACAGATTGGAACGGCGTTGCTACTTGGAGATGGCTCGCAAATGATGATACTTGTGGAATATGTAGATTAGCATTTGATGGATGTTGTCCTGATTGTAAAGTTCCCGGAGATGATTGCCCTTTAGGTACGTTTCGTAATTAATGCATTACATAATTTAAAATCGTATTGTTATAAAACTAAATGATTGTTTTTCTTATCATTTCAGTTTGGGGCCAATGTTCTCATTGTTTTCATATACATTGTATTATGAAATGGCTGAACTCACAACAAGTTAATCAACATTGTCCTATGTGTAGGCAGGAATGGAAATTCAGAGAATAAAATATTAAAGCTTCTTCAGTGCAATCTAATGTTTGAATTTTGGACTATACAAACCCTATCATCTGTTTCTCTCAGTCTTATATTTTAGCTTAATAAAGACTTTAAAGCTTTTGCTGAGATTTATAATTCACTTCATTTACATTAGTACTATTGCCATCGATTTGCTGAGACTTTGGTAAAATAAGAAGGTAAGAATATTCAAGACTTCATTTTGAATTTGTCGTTAGTTCAGTGTAGGATCAAGTTTATGACCATCGTGGATTTGTAATAAAGTTTCCAAAATTAATCTTAAAGTTCTTTATAAATAGTATTTATATCGGATTAGTATTAGTTCACAGGTGTCATGTCTCTGATTTATATGTGTTATCAAGATCATATCAACCTTACTGTGTATATGATTCCTAAAGTAGGAGTGTGTTGATAGATGTTTATGAAAGGCTTTGAGAGATTATTAAACCCCTAATTGGTGCTTTCAGTTTAGATCAGGTCCATCTATTGAATACATTTTACAAATTTACGTTCCTACTAGTTCTTGATTAGTACTATGGTTGCCTTCAAGATCACTGAAGATTGCTATGAGAACACTGTACGTGGAATGCTATAAGTTGATGAGTCAAGTCTCTACTCTCTCTTTAACTACAAATAATAACTTTCACTTCTTCATAGGAAACATACATAGTTTATTTGTATTTTACCTATGAGAAACAACGTACACTGTACTCTTTCGGATTATTTAAGACAATAATAACAATGCTACGAATTAGATAATAGTTACTTTAAATTATAGCTATAGATTGTGTTGTGACATCTTGAAAAAAAAAATTCAGTTTTTCCTCAGTGAATATCTTTCAGTGTATTTTAGGCAGGTACATATTGTTAGAATACTTGGATCTTAATATGTAAAGACGATTGTATATACTTGGGTACTCAGCTGATTCCATCCACAAAGTGATCTTGAAACGAGACTCGATCGTGGAGTAGTGATTTGGAACCTACTACTTTTATTTCTAAAAATGTTATGTGGCTTAGAGAATTTATATATAGTGTAGTCAATGTGATTTTAATCCTCCCGTCAGCCAGATATGACCTTTATGAACTAGCTCTTTAACTGATTTTATGAAATTTATTTTTTCACACTATTATCATATGAAGCGTTTTACTTTAAAATGCATGCATGTCTATCAATTCATTCTTTATTCAATTTTTTATCATAATATTTTATAATAACAAATTTTAATATGTAATTCATTGAATCTTGAATACATTACATGGAAATTTATTTGTAGAGCCTGATATGTCGCTACAAGGCCTTCCTCCTCTACCTAAAAGTTTGAGCACCGTCAACCTTGCCGAACCTGTCAACGGCAACAAAAGAACTCACCATCATAAATTGCCACCACCGCCTCCTCCACCTGGCCCGAGGCAACCCCCACCTCCTCCTCCAAGGAAGCAGACTAAGCTTGATGTTCAGTTAGCTCGGCTCAGAAAGGAAATGGTACCATTTTTAACATTTGTTAAATAAACTTTAATAGCTTTAGGATATTTCATATTATATATTATTAAATAAAAAAGCTGTAGGTTATAATGACATTCACGAAGTGTTTGATGGGTGTTAATAATTTGAAGAGAAAAAAAATGGGGGATCTGTACTACATGGGACATTTAATTTGAGACGTAATCATGATTTGAGACATTTCATTTCTTCCTAGTGAAAATCAATTCATGCTCATTACTGATTAATTTTTAATATATTAGTAAGTATTATAATAATTATATATAATCCTTAAGTAGTGGTCTGATCTCATTTATGGCTACAGTTTATTCATTCATCAAGCATCAATTCTCATGTGGGTTTGTTATTTTGGATTTCAGTATAGCCTAAGAGAACTGGATCTGTCTCTTCTCTCTCAGCTGTGGTCGTTGAACGAATCCTTGCAAGAGTTCCGGGCGATGCAAGAGATGTTATCACCTCATTCGGACCCTGAAGAGGACGCTCTCTATTCGAACCTACCCCCTCTTCACGAAGGGACTTATCCATTGTCAAGCAGTTCATCAAGATCTAGCAATAATGCATATACAGAGTTGTAAATGTAATTATTTTAATGATAATCGTATAATTTTGTTCATATTGAACTAGTCTTATGAATTTTAAATTTTAGGAAATTTAGAAATATTTCAAATGTTTCTATCCATTTTAACTTTATTGTGCTGATGTTGCAATTAGAATAAAATTACTTCATCACATGAATATATTTTGTATGCATTAATACCACTGTACATTCGTATTTCTTTCTTTTTTTTTAATGTAGTTATAATTGTTGAAGCTTGTTATTTGAAGACTGTTATTATTTAAAATTTTATTTTTTATTAATATGTATATATTTCAGTTCCTTTAACCTTTAATCCATAAATAATTATCTTAACTCTAATATTTTAAGCCAAAAAAAAGTAATATTAAGAATAATATATATTTATTCAAACTTGGATGCTAGAGGGTAATTACTGCAATTTTGTACTTGATAATGCACTGAGAGGTGAAAAAGTTGTTACGGTTCATTATATGTTATGTATTTTTATAATTTTTATTTCTCCATTACAATCAATGTTAGATGCAATAGACTTAATAATGTTTGAAAAAATCAAGATATAATAAATATAGAAAAAATGCTGGTTTTGGTCAGAAAACTTTTTTACTTCTCAATGTTGAAGGTAATTTTTGCATTGTGTAATATAAATGTATATATTTAAAATTATATAATTTTTCTTATAAATCAACTTCTGAATTAAAAGAAAATCTTGTATTTATAAGATACTATCATATCTATCCATTAGGAATAAGTAGTTAAATAAAAACTACACACAGTTTCTGTGTTAGTTGACTTAACTTTTAATCGGGGGTTTAATGAATAAGCTTCTGATTTTATAGTAATGTACTTCTGCTCAATTATAAGCTATTAAACAGTTTTTATTATATGTTAACCGCTTATCTCTGCTTTTCATTTATTTGTTTTTATGTTTTTCTATCATAATTATTTCTAAATTGACAAAATGTTATTATTGTTATAGTCTTTTAATAATATCCTATTTTTTTTTTTAATAATGCTCTCAAATTTTATTAATTGAATCGTTCAGACTGATATGACAAATATTTTTATTATGACGTTATTAGTAGTTAAATGCTATAATTGCTTATGACAGTTATAAATTTATAATTGTGGATTAATGATTGGCTGTAGTGAATAATTGAAGATTAGTTGGGGTGATCAGTCAAAAAATAAATAAGTATTTGTATTTTTATTTTTACCGACTTTTTTTTTTTACTTATCCCTACCAATCTTCTCTTCATTTATAAATTTAGGTGATGATGTTTTATTTTATATACACAGTATTAAACAGGTTGTTCTATCCAGGTTGTATTTATCCTATACATTCCAATCTTAAATCGATGTACTTATATTTATTTCCTGTAGGACCTTATTATCCATAAAATAAATTGTGATGTAAAGCTTGTTTGATCAAAACACCTACAACTTTCCTTTGTTTCTCATTTGACTTACATTATACAGACAGACATGTGTAATTGTCCATGAATCATATGGTATAAATCATATCCTCAATATTTCCTAATTTGCATAAATCATTGCGTTCTGAGAGAGGGATTCTATGATATGCCTGTGTGTGCTTTCATTAGTTTTTCACATCTTCAAGTGAAGGAAAAAGTATTATTAAACAAATAATAAAGTTGAAAATTTGACCTTACATATACACTAATGAATTTTCAATCTTTTGCAGTAACTCAAGAATTATGTTTTGTTAAAAAATTTGTCTTTAAAGAATGGAAAATTTGATGTACAAATTATGGTTTTTGGGGAACAGAGAGAAGTAAGGTGTATAAAGATTTCTAACTATTACTACTGAATCCTCTATGCATTTTTTGTAACTAAAAAGTTATTTTCACCAATTATTGTTTTTATTTACTAATTTGCCTAAAGTCGATTATTTTTTCTAGTGAATTTTGTTTGAATAAGAAATAAAAGATAATTCGTTAGTCTGAAATGTCTAGGTGCATTTGGGTTGATTTTGAATTAATGATTGCATTATTGCCTACAACTACATCATTTTATTTTTTATGTCAGAGTAATTGAACAAACGACTCCAGTTCGCTAACTCATAATTATCTTATCACGATAACTTCTGTTAATCAGCCCTGCCTTCATAAATCTATTTTTAAAACCAAATACTGCAAAATTGTCTGGAGTATGTAAATAGCTCACATCATGGATGCCCATCTTTCCAAGGTCAATTGGAGCACCCTCCCTTCCAAGAAATTTTAATGCTCTTCACTTCTTAAAAATGATACAAGAAAGGTATACTGCAAAAAATTGTAAATCATAAACAATTACATTTGATTTATGTTACATGTTTTTCCTTTGTTCTCTAGTTTGAAAGTAACTACATATTGGAATTCCATCAAAATGTGCCCCCCCCTCAGAAAAATTTTGCTGGCACAAATTGTGCCATACAACGCTTTTCTGGATACTCCTAACTCCCATAGCTCAAAAACAAAATATATACACCGAAATTACTTCAAGTATATGTAAAGGATGTTATAGCAACTTTTTTGCTAAAATCGACTCGCCGGAAATGCCACTTTATATTATCAATTTTATTCATTTTTAGAATTTGACAAAACTCATACCGATATCGGTGTAAACTTTAATGAACTATCTATCCCAAATAATTTGGTAGGGCTTTCATGCTGATTTTTGTTTTTAAGAACCTTTAATTTTGTTTATTATGAATACTTAAAGGTCCACTATTAGTACTAATATTATAAAACGGAAAAATAAGAAATATTTAAGGATTTGGCAACTAACTAAAGAAGAAATACTTTCGCACCAAGATAACAAATATAAATGTATATTATACGGTTGGAAAACAAAGTGTTAAAAAAAATTAATATCGAACATGTAAGATCGTAGAAGTTAATGGAGTTTTAATTGTTGTATTTAATAGTATCTAGCTTTATATTATTGAATGGAAAATAAAAATTTTCAAATAAATAGAAAACCTTCAAATTTATTTTCAGATCGACAAATCAAAAATATACCGTGTGCAGAATTGTCATAGGATTGTATATAAAATTAAAGTAATATTCTTGAAATAGACTGAAGTAAAAAATAAGTATAAATGGTGGCATGGTAATAAGTGAAAGTTGTGTGATGCACTGCACTAAATTTTTTATTTTAATGCGTAATAATTTCGACATAGAGCATTTCGAAAGCCACACTGCAAAATTCTATATGCACAGTTTTATTAGAAAGTGAAGCTTTAAACTTTTTTCGTCAATCTTTATCTCGAGAATAATCCAAAATACAAAATAAAAACGTAATTTAAAACATTGTATCTTTGTCTAAAGCATGCTGTTAAAATTTGAACTGAAAATTTAGTTACGAAATACAAGGTTTATTTCGTCTTTTGAATAATTTTAGTTTTTGCACTTATTGGCTTTGACAGTGTGACTGTCGTATTTGTTGATTTTTGGTTTATGTTAAGGGGATTAAACAGTTATTATTTATTACTTTTTTTAAACATTTCCAGGCTTAGTTAACTCAAATATCATAGCTTTCGTTTCTTTACTACTTTAAAAATCCGCTATATTCGTCTGATTGATAAATTGTAAACACATTAGAAAAGTCCTTGAGAGAGACCTTAAGGCGACCCTACATTCCTTTGCTATTCAATCCAGTTATCTCGACGTCAAAGACTATTTATGTATTTCTAAGTAATAACTTAGCTTTTAGTTCTCATAATTTACATACTGACTGTACTTTGTTTGATAAAGTACCTTTTATTTTGTAAATTTAATTTTATAAAGAATTACCAGATAATTAGTTCGTAAATAATAAAGTTTAAGAAAAGATAAAGGAAAATAAATTTATAAAATTAATGAAAGTCGCTCCTCGAACACTGGCTACACTGCACCAACAATGTGATTGTGATCTGTGATGATCTGCAAGTGGGTTAGGAATGTCTTGTTGAACTTGTTGACATATTTCTTCGGGGTTCCCCTCTTTTCAAGAATGGTATGTAATTTAATTATTACACAATGAAACCGTCACTTCTTGTTTGATCTAGGCATTTTAATTGTTTATATTGATAAATTCAATGATTTCTGTAATGAACTTTCTTCCTGACCTTCTTTTTTAATGTTGTCAGTAAGTGTTTGTTTTCTTTTTCCAGCTTAGATCTACATGTTTATTTAAAGAGAAGCAGACGCATGTGATGACCCAATGCGAACTCGGTTTTGGGAGGTAGACATTAAATGGCTGGTAACATGTCCAACATTGTCAACAAAGCTCCAATTGTTGTGAAGAAGGTAGAGAGTGGTTTAGCTCCACCAAGATACCAGCCGCCACCCCAGCCCATCAGGCAACACCATGTACCTGGCATAAGCGACCCAGCGCAGCTGTATAAGAATCAGATAACACATATTGACAGGTAAGAAAGTCTGATTACACGCTGTATTGATATCTCTTATCTCATTTTGTGAATCAGTAGCTATTATGTAATTATATCTGTCAATCTTCATTTGAGAGTTTCAAGTCTTATCTTAATAGTCTGTCAATATAAACAGAAAAGCATATTTGCTTTTGAACACTTCATTACATTCAATACCAACTCTAATGAATTCATTGAAATATTAAAGTGATTCAAATATATAGTGTCTTCAAGAAATATATAAGCCCTTATACTTTGAAGATTTGTTAAACATTCAATAACTTATCGAGTTAATTTGCTCATTCTCAAATCATCTACAAAAACAATTAACAAACATAATTGACAAAAATGATCACTCATTATCTAATCATATAATAAAGTGAGAACTTACCCAACAATTCAAACCAAAAATTGTTACCTATGAAAACATATTTCTATATTATAATTTCATTAATTATTCATTTTCGGTACACCAAATACAAAAAACAACACTATTCTTCATCTCATTTTATGTGCATTTACTCGTATGCTTGTCCATTCTACTAATAAAAAATTTGTGTGTGCGATTATTTCTGAAAAATAACAGATTTATACTTTTGTTTTATTTGCACTGCATGGTCCTCCAAAAATTCTCCCTCTATTGTTTAACATTGACTGCACATTTGAGCTTTTTAGGGATGTATGTTCTTGTAGGGATTCTAAATAAGTAAATGAGATATAGCTCTGTTGATGTTCATTATTCTCCAATGATCTATCTAATTAAAAACTAATCTCATTTAATATATGGACATAATATTGGTCTATATTTTTAACATCGGATTTGAAATTTACTGCATTATTTATATTTTTAGTAATATAAATTGATTCTAGGGTTTTTCTAGTTTCATTGTTTTTATTTATTTAAGTCATAAATTATTTTTTTATTGTACATGCAACCTTAAAAGTTGGAAATTAGTCTTTGAGCCATAACCTTTTTATACTCTTAAGTGGTATCAAAACAACCAAGGATACATATATTTTAGGAAATTTGAATTTTTATTAGAAAAAATTATTGTATAGTCAAGTCGAGTTAATAGTTGTGCCAAGATCATATGATTACACTGTTCTTGGAATGCCGAAGCTTGCCAAGCATGCCTGTTTTTTGACAGTTTGGGTTAGGTTACTTTTCAGACACATACAAATCAGACTAAATAAATTGACTCTTACATATAAATACATTTTAATAGAAAAATATAATTGTAGAAATAACCAAATGAGACTAAATGAAAAAAATATTTTATATAAATTGATGTTTAAATCTTATCCTACAAATCTTATAGTTAAGTACACCCGAACACAATATAGTAAAACATAATTTAAAATCTTTTTGGCAGTATAAATAAAATATTCTTCAATATGTCTGTGAAATGAAAAATGATTATATTTAAAAAAAATGAAGAGAGATAAGATAACATCTTTAGATTTTAGTTACAATATAACTAGAAATTAAACAAAGTTGTAAACTTTTCTATTTCACATAAGTCAGTAAAAATACATGGAATTTTGGATTTTTTTGTAATTTTGATTATTTTTATATTATTAAGCTGGTCTTTAAGCATTTTTTAACTTTTCATTTGTTTTTTCGATTTAATAACCATCATTTTAATTGAAACCCTAGCTTCATAGTTATAAGTTTGGTTTAATGTTATGGTGGTTAATTATCAATGGTGTGATAACCAGTGTGTAATATAACCTAAATATACGTTAATAATTTGAAAAAGTACAAGGAGTCATGTTTGTCTTCAAAATAAAAAATTCCGATTATAAAATATTTTTCAGGAAGAAGTGTTATGGCTTGATAATATTTATTTGCAGAGTTCTTTTTTGTATTATATTGAGTAATTTTAAATATTTTTAATTGAACCGTTATAATAACTCAAATTCACCTTTTATAGAAGGGAACCCGATAATACTAGAGTTCTTCAAGCGCAGTACTGTGTTTCACCACCACCTACGGTGCAGCCACATCAAGATATGCTAAAGTTTGTTAGAAAACCTGATGCTGAAGCAGCCAGAATCGCTGCTGAACAGGTAGAGTAGATTAACGAACTTTTTAAATATATTTGAAAATTCATGTTGTCTATTGATGTTCAACATAATTATTATATTTAATTTTGTTAGTGTAAATTATATTAGAACTTTTTCATGTTTTAGTCAAGAAGAGTAGCTGCCGAGATGCGTGGGCTAAAAGAAGCAAACCAACGGCTCAGTGATGATAACCAAGAACTGCGAGATTTATGCTGTTTTCTCGACGATGATAGGCAGAAAGGCCGCAAACTTGCTAGAGAATGGCAGCGATTTGGGAGGTATTTTTTTTACAAAATTTTCAATTTTCATTCCTCATTAAAGAATAGATTATAACAAAAAAAAATGTCAAAAGTACCAAATTTCTCTGATGGTTATTCTCAAATTAGAGTTCAAGTGCTAGGAAAGAAGCTATTGTTTCTAGTTTCAAAACTTCCGCCCAAGGTATATTTTTCCATTTTATCTCTCACCCTGTCTAATTCTAAATGAAATAGCTAGTTCAAAATTTATTTTATTAGCTTTTATAAATTCATTTTAATAAATTAGAGGAGAGAGATTTAAGAGTATCGTGTTGAGCAGCCCTGTACTTTATGCTACTGTGGATTCAAGCCAAGTCTCTAGACATCACTATACTTCCTAGATGCACTGAACCGATGAAAGTTTTTTGGCTTAATATGAACCTTTTTTTACTTTCACTTATCTAGATATGAAATATATTCTAAGGGAAAGTAATGCAATTATGAAAATTTTGAAATCTGAGTTTTCAATGGAAATTACGTTTTGAGGGCTCCTCAGTCCAGTTAACCAACTCTCGCAAAATTGTCTGTGAACAGTCTGATTGAAAAACACAAATTCTTATGAAACTGAAATTATTACGTATGTAAGGTTTGTGTATGCCTTGGATGTTATAGCAACTTTTTCATCAAAGTTAGCTAACCCCGAAGTACCTCTTTATATCGTTAATTTTACACATTTTTACAATTTTCTTGAACAATTCTGATTTTGATTAAACTCATTAGGTCAATGTTTTGTTAAGTGGTTTTTAATTTAAGGTAGGTTTTATCCTCATTGATAAGGCATGGCAGGGCTTAAATGGCGAATTTCAAAATTTCTTCCTCTAAAATACATCTGATTTTGTTTATTTGAAATAAATAATCATTTCACATTATAACCAGTAATATAAAATGGTTTTATATAAACTATGAAAGAATTTGATAATCAACTAAAGGAGAAATACGGTATCATAATAGAGGGCCAAAGAAACCAGAGCTTGACCGAAAAGTTCTTTATCACTTGAATTCTATTGCTCCTCAAATTTATTTTATATTTATCCCATGGAAGTATCAATTTGAGCCATTTTTATTTTTTATGCTAACTGTTATAGAAAGATTGAATATATTAAATTCTGAGCTTTACGTTTGTCCATTCATGTTATGGAGAGGATCTGTTAAGACACAGCTTAAAAATACAATTAAGAACTTTAGTAAATAGTTAAGAATGAACAAAATAACAGAAAAGTTCTCTTTAGACAACAAGTTTCACTTTATTCATCTTTGGGGTGCTGTTTTGATATCTAAATAATATTATTTTATTATCATTTTTATAAATAATATTAACACTTATTTTATGTGCCCTTTCAGATATACTGCCAGTGTGATGAGGCAAGAAGTTTCAGCATACCAGAATAAGTTACGGGAACTTGATTCCAAACAGCAAGAACTAATAAAAGATAATCTCGAGCTAAAGGTATTTATTTATTAAAATAAGTTTTCTTCATAGGGTATCTTGTAGGCATAATAAATATTATACTAAAGTAAACTAGGAACCTATTTTTACCCAACCAAGCTAAGCGAAACGAGGGTTATGTGTTTGCTTCGTCTGATAAAAGCTTTATAATGCTGTTTTGAGCCAATGACTGGATCAATTTTTAAGTTTGATGGCTCAAAATATTTGGTGAGAGCCTCTGAGTGTTTTGAAACAATTTGAGCCAAAAATACTGACCCGTTATTAAATAAAATTTTGTTTAAAGTTAGCTTCTTTTCGTTGAAGTATGTTATATAGAAAAATTTAAAGGGCGTCAAGAAAATGACTTTAGCAAAATTTCATGGAAATCTACATTCGTTTAGGAGCTACAGTCTATAGCAATGCAGGTTTTTTGGCCGCCATTTTGAAAGTAAAAGGCGGAGAGTAATGTCGATAAAGGAGGATCATCCTCGGGTGACCTCTGATTTTATATCAAAATTTGAAGAAAAAAAATCGGTCCAGTAGTTTCAGAGAAAATGCGCAGACGGCGGACGCACAAAAACATTTTTATTCATTTTTCAAATTCTACGTGTCCTGAAACGTGAAACCTCAAATTTTGAGAGGGGGTTAAGTTTTTGAATTTTTTGGTTGATCACAATGGTTGATTATTGAAAGCAGCAGCTGGACGCCAGAGAAAGGCTTACTACATTGAAGACTAAGAATATCAAGCCTACAGTTATAAGACTTTTATACATTAATTTATTACAGTTGTTAAAAATAAATTGTTTTATTATACAGGAGTGAAAAGTCATTTTATTGAGTTGTCCTATATGGCTCACAATTGAAGAATAAACCAGGTGAGTCAATTCATTCAAAGTGTATTTACTAAGTCCCACATTTCATTTTATATTCTTATTGTTTCTTATCACTCAATGTTACAAAAGGTATTAGATTCCCGAATTCCCAACAACAGTTAAACACCCTCAAAAAGTCTATATCCAGTGCTGGGGTTTTGTTTTAATAATCACGAGTGTAAATAAACTAGTTCCCCGATTAAAAGTGGAAGGCTAATTGCTATTCCCCCCAAAACAAATTATTAAGATTTAACTTTATTTGGTTATTTACAAGTTGTTGGTCAACCTTGGGGCAGAGAGACCCTCCTGCGTTAAACCCAGTCTCTATAAAGTGGATACTCGGATAATGAATTAAATAATTAATTAAGGGGGAAAACCTGGCGGTTGAGCATGATATTGGCCCGTCAACTCCCTGCGCCACCATTAGCCTAGTAACAGTACTTCCTCACATTGTACTGAACCCATAATCCTTCATGGGTTGGTAGTGCTACAGGTTTTTTTTTTTTTTAATATTCACAGATTTCAATTTCCCTATCAACCTACCAAGATGTTTCAGTAGATATAGAAGTACATTCCCTTAGGGTGGATAGAATTTCCCAATTTCTGTAGTTTGTTTTTTTTTTTTTTTTTTTATTCAAATATTTTTATTTCCTTAGTTGATTGTAAACTACACATTAAAAATTTATTCTCGATTATCCAGCATGGTAAAATTGATATTTTCTATTTTTTTTTTTTAGGAGTTGTGCCTCTATTTAGATGAAGAGAGGAGTGGCCTCTGTAGATCGTGCGGAGCTTCGCTGCGAAGGGATGACGGCGACGGTTCAAGTTCTTCCACCAATCCTGACGAAGCTGCCCCACAGAGCACTTTCCGGCCTCTGTCCCAGCAGTCTACTGCTAATGGTAGGTAAGCTGCATGGCTTTCTATTATTGTTTATAAATTGTTCATATATTTTTCGTCTTTATGCCGTAATCAGAGCTCCTCAAAATTTGGCAATTATGGCACTTATTTTTTTAAAATCCTTTTAAAGAAATATTATTACTTGTCATTTAAATTATACTACTCTATTTCTAAACTATGATTAATATCTACAAAATTGGTAAAATGAATAAATATTTGCTCTCCATGGTAAAATAGATGTTGATGTTTTAGAAGTTTTAATAACAGCCACTAATCGATATCAGGCCAAATCCCATCTTCGTTTACTTTTTGTTTCCTCTGTTCCTGTGATGGACTTTGTAGATTGTTGGCATAATTTCTGGATCCAATACTTTTGGGAAGTTTTTTCTTGAACATATGAAATTTGCCTGAATTTATCAAACTATAGTATATCTTAAAAACAGCTTAATATTCCCATGATATATTTGTTTATCATTGCATTCTACTAACCCTTTATCTTAGATGTACGAGGGTGGTCTGAAAAGTTTCTGACTGCAACGTGAAGATGGCAGCACTCGTAAATAAAAGCAAGTGAATTTCGTTGTTTATCTGTTGACAGTTACTCACCAAAGTTTCAGCCATTTTGGACACACAGTTTTTATGTAACAGTCGTTTGAGTGAGTTGATGTGAGCGTTTTTGTGAAAATAGGCAAAATCGAGTATTGAGCTGTCATTACATATTTGTTTTTGAAAGGCAACACGCCCATGCAAATCAAAGATGAGTTGGATTCTGTACATGGGGACTCTGCACCATCATTTACCACAATGAAATTTTGGGCAGCTGAATTTAAACTTGGCCTATAATCTTGGGAGACGATGAACGTCCGGGATGTCCAAAACTGCAACGACCGACGAAAACATTGCCAAAGTTCACCAAATGGTGTTAGATGACCGCTGAATTAAAGTGAGAGAGATAGCAGAAGCTATGAACATGTCAAAAGAACGTGTTTGTCACATATTAAATCAACATTAGATATGAGAAAGCTGTCTGCACGTTGGGTGCCACGTTTGCTCAGGTCAGACTAAAAATGTGTTTGAACAAACATTTACAACACCCTTGTGGCGCAATAAACCCGGGTTTTGGTGCCGATTAATTACTGTAGATGAAACTTGGATACACCATTATATGCCTGAAACAAAAATACAGTCCAAACAGTGGACTGCAAAGGGGGAACCGACTCAAAAAAAAGCAAAAACTGTTTTCTCGGCTGGGAAAATGATGGCGACTGTTGTTTGGGATAGTCATGGAGTTATTTTAATGGACTATCTTCAAAAAGGAAAAATCATTACAGGAGTCTACTATACATCATTACTTGACAAGCTGAAGGCAGAACTTGTGGAAAAACAGCCACATTTGCAGAAAAAGAAAATCTTGTTCCACCAAGAAAACACACCGTCTCACACCTCAGCGGTTGTCATGGCGAAAATCCATTAATTACGGTTTGAACTGCTTGACCATCCGCCTTACTCACCAGATCTAGCCTCAAATGACTTCTTTTTGTTCCCTTATCTAAAAATTGCGCTCGGAGAATGGAGATTTTCGTCAAATGAAGAGGCAATCACCTTCGTGAACAATTATTTTGCAGAGAAAAACGCCGAGTACTTTTTGGACAGGTTACAGAGATGGGAGCATCGCTGAGAGAAGTGTGTATAGTTGCGAGGAGACTATGTTGAAAAATAAAAAATAAAAAAATTCAGAAGAAATGTCTTGTATTTTTGTTAGGCTGGAAACTTTTCAGACCACGCTCGTACATACATAAAGTTGAAGAGAGCGTGTCTACCAGACATGAAAATCTCCCAAAGGTCTGGGAAGTTAAGAGAAATGATTTCCTTTTTTTTTCTTTTTTCTAGATACTCCACAAATGTTAGAGTACATTCAACGTCTTGAAAGCCGAATCAAGTTCCTCGAAGATGAAAATAGGAGTCTTCATCAGAAATTAGGAACTCCCGTCTCATCTTGGGATCAGGTAAAAAGATTTAAAATGTTTTATCAAAACGATTAGTAATTATCATTTGAGTTAAAACTTTAAATACGTCATTGATAATAGTTTTTCGGCAAATGAAATATAAATTATAGACAGAATTGGGAAATTTTAAAGGTATGTACACAACAAGATACAAAATTAAGGTTTACTTTGGAAATGGGTAATAATGTTTTGAAATGTATGTATGTTCAGATAAAGTGGTTGATAAAATAAAGAATTATAGATATAAATCGTTGATTAATCCATTAATACTTTTTTTTTTAGATAATCGAATGTATAACATAAACTGTACCAATTGAGACTTATAAGGAAACATTTTATGTTATGTTTACAACCTTTTGAAAATACGCATATCTGATGTGCTTACTCAGAACACTTCCCTAGGTTTTTCAGAGAAATTTTAATCAGTATAAAAATTCAATACTATCTTACTTAGCAAATACTGGTCCAATTTGAAGGACTTTTTTTAACAGGACATGATATGAAATCTTAAAATTTATTTTTCAACCGATTCAGTTTGAGTGGGATCTTTATTTTAATTTTTTTCTGTTATTTCGGGGGTATAGTGGCCGAGTGGTGGGCTAATGTATGTGCAAAATACACGTTGCCAGTTGACTTGATAAACTGAAGATTACGTGTTTGAGTCCTGGTACTGGGTGACTTTTAACTCTGGTATTAATTCCTCCTTTATCCTCTGGCTATGGAAAAATAACCCATATAGCTGAAAAAGCGAGGAATGGTAGAGAAAACAAATTTTCTCTTGCAATTTTTTAAGTAAAGGTATGTTAGTATAACAATGATGAAAAATTGCAATCTGTTTGTGAATCAAAATTTCTATATTTCAAATCTTTTTCAAGAAAATTTCATGCTCGATATTGAGAGGTAATTATTTTTTATAATATGAATTGGTTAAAGTATTACTTTTTAAAGTTTGTTTTATTAATATAGGAAGTCCTTTCACCTCCTCAAAGTGTAGTTCAAGCGTTACAAGTTTTAGAAGTGAGGGAAAGGTTGGAAACTCCGGAAACTGGTGGAACTGCCATGGATATCGGAGAGAAAGCATTAATAAGAGAGATGTGTAATGTAAGTTATTTAATTTATAATTTTCTAAAAGTGTATTTAGCATTTCTATAAATTGATTAATATTAATAGTAAATAAGAATATAACTTATAGTTAAATGAACAACCTGAATTAAAGGTGTTTATTTTATAAAAATTTTAAATTTAAAGCAGCTCATGCAAAAATTGACCTCATCGCAGGCTAAGGTTTGAATTTAAATTATGAAAGTGTATGTTATTCTGAATAAAAAGAACTTTGTCTGCCGTTCCAGAGCCACTGCTTTACAAAATGGTGGCTGATTTAAAGAATATTAGGCCAGTAATTTGAGGATCGAAACGAGACATCCTTTGTAAAAAATGGGAGAAAAGTTTTTATTTCTTTAAATTGTGTATATGGATTTAGACATTTACAAAACAAAATTGCTAACACGGCCACCAATGGATAACTCTTTACAGCTAAAAAAGTCATATTTTTTTTGTTTTTTCTCCTATAACTCCTAAACGATGCATCCAATCGAAAAATCTATTCATTAATAAATTAAAAAACTTTGTGCCGAAAAATAAATATTTTTACTTTGTATTTTGACTGAACACCCCAACCAACTTCAATTCGATTATAAACTACAGTCAGCCATCAATCCTTTATTATATTACAATATATTGTTTTCTTATTTCAGGTCGTTTGGAGAAAGTTAGAAGAGGGACCTAACGCTAGGAGATGAATCTCTTCACGCTGTAACAATCAAAAAATATAGTAATGGTTGATAAAAGTTCCTACCAGGTGCCTCTCGGAAGCTCAGAGAAAGTACCTTCGCTACAGTATTCATATCAGGGTATTTTTACTTGTGCAGTGAGAAATTCCGTCCAGTTTTTTTTTTTTTTTTATATTTCACTAAGATATAATGTAATATATAAATGTTTTTTTTAATGTAATTATCATTATATAATCAAGGAATGAGAATTGATTATTTGTTTTGATCTTCGTTAATTGGAACTAATCCATTTTTAAATATAAATTTTTGTTAAAATCAAGTATTTTATGTGTCAGTATTGTATGACGTTACTATGAAGCAAATTAAATGTTAAAATTTAATTTATAAAAATTTAAAAATCAAATTGAAATTTTAACTTTTATGTTAATTTTTTTTATATATATTTTTATGATTTCTACAATGTTTGATTTGAGTATACATTATTATTTCTTAATTTTTTTTTTTTTAATATTTAAGTGAATTGCAATAATTTTTGCAAAATACCCATCGTTTGTTTATAAACATGTAGATATTATTTAAAGTGCCTTTTCCAATATTTTGTATGTGATTGATTAACATAGTTTATTTTTGTAAATATATTTGTTAAATTTATAACTTATACCATCCTCTTTCATTATGATGGTATTTTAGTTGTTTTTTTTGTTTTTTTGCACTTAAATCTTTTTAACCCACTCGAGTTGAATTTTTTTTTTATATTGTTCACATAATAGGTTTAGAACTGGAGTTCCCAAGGTGTTTTGATGAGGAGGTTATTTTCCAAAATCTGAATATTTCTTAATTATGAAAATTAAGAAATTATTATGATCAGTATAAAGGTTCTATTTCGCTAGTACTGCTGCCAACTGTTTCTGTTTGTGTATTTTACTGTAGATCCATCCCCACCACTTTTCTTTAACATTAATTATCTTTGCTATTATTCATCCAAAAAATATTGTTTGCATTCATAGAAGCTTTTATTGCCAACCACTGAAAAAATAGTAATTTTCAAAATGTTCTGAATTGTTTAATCTAAAGACATTTAAAGGTACTTTTCGCTGGTGCTGCACATGACAGCAACCACCATTCCATATTGCCAACCGTTAATGCTTTATTTCACTTAAACTGCTCACCGTTGAGCCTGGTCTGAAATAATTTTAAATAAAAATGTTAGCCTTAAATTTAATGATTTTTATTTATTTATTTAATGATTAGATCTTATATACACAATATTTTATCTGGTAGTTCAAGTTGAATAACAAGTTTAGGTAATGTCTATACTATAAAATGTTAACAATTGTCTACATATTAATGCCCACCTTCTACAAAATTATGGTTTCTTGTAATGTATTGAATATAAAATATAAGCATTCATTCTAGAAATGAGAAAATAAAATATTATATTAAGAACTGTGGACGTATCTCTAATTTTAAATGTATTACTTATTATTAGTTTGATAAGTAATAGTAATTACTACATATTCGGTGTGTAATAAATATCACTAGTAAAGCTAAGATCATAGGATCGAATCCCGGCCCTACTTCCCAATACGGCTGGTCCCCACGCGGAGTTACACCATTACCCTCTTAATTAGGGGAGGCCAAGAAGTATAATACTTGTAAGAACAGGCTATACAAAAAATATATATATATATATATATATATATATATATATATTTATTATGATATCACGGCAGGCGATGTTTTACCTTTTTATCAATAGGTAATCCGTAAATCAGCATTTTAATTAAAACATACAAATTGATTTTTCAATGTGTGGATTTTAGTATTTACCTGACGTTAAAATTTGTTGGATTATTTAATGTCGTTTGGATTTATGTATATTTGAATTTCTCTGTAAAATACTTTTGATGTAATAAATAATCTTGTTACTTCAACCTTAAAAAAAATATTTTAAAAAAGTTTTAAACAATATTTCATGTATGTAATTTTGCCAGACTTGATGAAAAAACATAGGAAATGAAACGTATCAAGGTGACTGTTATCATAAAAATAATGCTTTAATATGATGATGAAACCTATGATACAGAACTGCCAACAGCTTCACTGCTTCAGGAGGGGTCAGAAAGGAACAGTATAGATATGATGTCATACATACATCATAGACTGCCGAGTACTGCCAATGAAATAAGTTTCTTTCTATTCCGCTCAAGTAGTGCTCAACTGCCAGCAGTCACTGTCGTAGGCAGTACCAGTGAAATAGTATCTTTACATTGCTTTTTAAATAACTCAAAAGAAATTATTTAAGATTTGACCGCACCCTGTAATTATTTATTTATTAATTCTCTTTGGTTTTTAGTATATTTATGTTTTTTTAGTTTATATATATTCAATGCTCACTTCAAATATTTGTGAAAACCTATATTTAAAAGTTTTCATCCTTTTTTTTAAATTTATATCAACATCTGCAAAGTCAATTTTTGTTACAAATTTTAGATTATCTGAGAGGTAAGCCCTGTTACAACCTGTTTTTAATAATTTTTGATAAATAGTTCATTTCTTTGGCTCGATTAAAATTTCTCTTGTTATGGCTAATCATCGTATGTTTATTTTACTGATCTATTTTGACTCGCTAAAGATTGGGAACTCCAGATTATAGAAGCTTTAAGTTTATTCAATGTTACGATATAATGTAAAATATTATTATATTATAAAAACTATCTTTCAGATCACAATATTTTCCTTTAACGATTGTAATAGTCTTTACAGAAAAAGTTTCTATAATTTCTTTACACTGAAAAGCAAAAAAAAAAAAAAGTGCCTTCCATTAAATGTTTTCTGGTTTCCTTTATACTAATTATTAATTCAACATATTCATATGATATGGTGCTTTTGAAATCTGAACTAGTTGAAATTTCTTTAAAAAAAAAGTTTTGAATCAACTTATAATTTTACAATATATGAAAACAACCCACGTATAGATTTAATTTCCTTTAATGTTGAGTGAATTTCAATTGATTTTATTTAGCAGAAAAGTTCTTATATTACTGTCCGTTTGTTCCCATCGAATAAACTATTGTCCCTCATATTTAAGCTGAAATATATATTCGCATGATTTCGTTAAATTTCAGAAATTAACTGTGATGTTAACACTTTTTTTTATGCAGAAAAGTGTTCTTAATTTTACTTACATATTCATTCAATTTTGAAGGAAAACATGTTTTTCAATAGAAAATAAATAGTAGTTTGTTTGAACCTCAAGGTCCCTTTACACGTTTCCGTAACACTTATTTAGAGACATACTAACTCTTGGTTAACAAAAATCAAGAAACAGCTATTAATACACTTTTGTTCCAAAGAAATAAAAATATTATAAAACATTAAAACATGAATATCTGTTGAGTTCTTAAAAATCTCAAATGAACAGGATTGGCCACAAATATCTTACACACAAACTCATGCTCGCTATGGTTTTGGAAACCTGTAAAAGAAACTTGAGAGGTTTAGAGGGTGTGTACTTTTTTGCTTCTCAGCATATGTTAATACTTGCCATTGATGTTTTTAGATCTAATTTAGTTGTTAAGTATTTTTAATGCCTCATGACGTGACCTGTGCTTAGAATCTTATCAGTATGTACATAAATATTGTTAATAATTATGCTCATGTGTTCTTGCCGAGGTTGAAGGACTCTCAATGTATTTCGCTCTCTTATTACTATGAACTAATCTTGTTATTGTATTTTCGCTCTTATATGTGTACCTTATGTATATAATTTAATGGATTAAAAAATAAATATAATAATAATAATTAAAACCACCTGTAATAAAATTGTAAGTACCTATCATATATAATAGCAATAATGATTGTCACCCATCAAAGATACGTTGAATTTTAGTATTAACACTGAGCAACTTGTTATGCTAAGAAATTTTATATTTATTATAAAAAGAAATTTATGTAATGTATACAAATATATATATTAATGTATTTTGTTATAAAAATTGTTTCCTTTAGTATTTGTTTTTTAATGAAATCAATATCCTTTTATATCAGAATTTCTTCTTTATTTCTTTTTTCGTTTCATTATTTTAGCTACTACTGCCCCATTCTTCCTTCATTCTAGCTCGATTCCTGGCCTGCACATATTTTTGTCTCTTCTCTTGCACAAACGTTCTGAGAAATTCTAGATATGATAATCTTGGGCATCCGGCGTGGTCTTCTACTAGCAGGATTAGGAACATACTCTGACATTTTAATGGATCTCTGTCGTCATATCTTCTCATTTTTCGCCCAATTCTCCACTCAAATTTTATTTCTGTAGCCGTGACAGCTCTCTTCAGTGTATATATTAATTCCCAACTTTTAGCCCAATATAAGAGCTCAGGTAGGTAGAAGATAATGACGTTTCATTTTTCTACTAACTTCTCGTTTGCCAACAACAATATTACACATATGGTGATATATTAAGTTTTTCTATTTGAGATTTCTTAGTCTATTTTCTCATTCCAATCCATAACTGTTCCAAGGTAGATAAAGTTGTGGCTGCTTCCATTTCTCCTCCCATTGTAGTATATATTTGCCTCAATTGCCTTTCATAATGTTTTCTTAAGACTTCCAGAATATCTTTACTGTCTGCGACCATTTAACCTTGTTTATTTTTAAGAATTCAATTTTTTTTTTTTTGCATTTATGTCATCTAAGTGGTTTTATTTCAGTACGAGAGCTTTATTTTTTCAGCATGATTCTGGTTAAAGCTTTCTAATTTCTCCCAAGAATCTCTCGTTGCCTCCTTTACAGCTTTCTTCATCCTGTTTGACCAGATATATTACCGATTTTTTGAAAGTTTTGCTCTAATAGTATTCCTTCCAGGTTGCTTTCTTTTCCTTAATCTGTGCATTCAATTCTTTCTTCCACCATGATGTATATTTGCCTTTTATGATCATCTTTTTCACATACTATTGTAGTTGACTCCAGGTTTTTGTCCAATTTCTTTAGTCTATTTTGTATGTTTTCTTCTTACTTTTATTTTTTCTCCTTGCTAAGAAACATTATATTATTATATTATATTATATATATTATAAATTTATGTGATTTATACAAATGTGTATAAAATTGATGTATTTTGTTATACATTTTTTTCTTAATGTTTTTTAATGAACTCCAAATCTTTATAATGTTTATTTCTTCTTTATTTGATTAATAAAAATAGATAGTTTTCTTCGAGGTCCAAATTTACTGAAAAAAAAAAAAAAAAAAAAAGAATCAATAATATTGAGAGAGCAAAATGTGCAAGTTTCAATCATTTATCTTTCTTTTTTATATGTTGAAGTTCTGATTAAAAAATTTATTTATTTATAAACATAGTAATAAAGATTTTTAATAATAAATTTAGAAGCATGATATTCTCTAAAGTATTGGTACTACAAAATAAAGTTGTTTATTTTTGTTTTCCTTGTTTATCTAATATATAAGAGGGCAATTTGGATTTGACAAACTGGGAGGCTTTTTTTAATCTCAAATACATTGTTTTTCCTGATGAATAATGGGTGATCTCGATTAATACGAAAGATATGTTAAGTTCATCGCTGAGTTATAAATGTTTACTTTTTACTTTAGGTATTAATAAATAAGCAAAAGAAAAATGGATGTGATGACATTTCAACTTAAAGTTAAAAAAATAATGATTGGATTTTTGGATGGCAATCAAACTATAGAATCTTTCCACATTTGAATTTTCAGTTTGACCACTTATTAAAAATGTAATTCAGTTTTAATTATTTTAAATTTAATAAATGTAAAATCTTTGGTCTTATATAGAATGGCTGTAATAAACTAATCAATTAATTTTTTATAATACATTACTTGATTCCTATCGATTTCATATCTTCCTCCGTCATATCCAATAGTTGCTGATAAGTTATATTCTTTTCTTTGAAAAGGTCCAAATATTCTTCCAAACCAAGGTCTGTCAGTATATAGTGAACATCGCTCTTACCTCTTTTTACTAAAGATAAAGAAAAAAAAAAACAATAAGTATTATAAATATCCTTAAAATTTTATGAATATTTAAAAAAAACTGAATAGGCTAAAAATAAAATTAATATAATATAGACTAAGTGAAATTATAATACAAGATTTTTTATACATTATAATGAAAACAATAAGTATAATATTTTTGTGTACAATGTATAATAGTTAACTTTTTTTTTAAACCACAGATTACCGATAAAAATTAATAAACATTTCAGATAATTTTCATTAATAAATAATATAGGTATAACATATAGAAATGGAAATGATTTTTATTTGCTATAGTATAGATATTGTCAAACCAAATCAGACCCATCATTAAAATGTATATATATTTGTTGTTGATTATTTATACATTGATTGTCTTATACTAAAGAAGTTATGTCATTATATCTTCAAATAGTTTATTTAAAAAGTCATTTTTGTCTCAATCAAGACTATTCTATTTTCATATTTTGATTTGGATATGAAAAATTATATTTAATCTGGTTATAGGAGTATAATTTTCTTTGAAGATTTAAGATGTCATGCTAAAATGAATATTTGAAAATCAAAATCATCCATCTTGTTTCAATCTAACAGGGTGCCCAAAATGGGGTTGCATGCCACAGGGAGGGAGAGGGGGAAGACTGTGGATTTCTGAGGGAGGGGAGTATTTGAATCGTGAGTGCAGAAACCATTGCAGTAAAAAAAAAATTCGAAAAATCGTTTTTGATGAAAAGAAGCTTAGAAAGGCAAGATGTGTGTTGAGTGCAAAAACCTCCTTGGTCTGTTGAGTAGTTCCGTAAATACATGACGTATTTTTCGATCGTTGAGCGCAGAAATAACATGAGTCAGTGACTGATGTGGTTTTTGCACCCAGATCGCTTGAGCAGTCTAGTCGGGTACTGCGCCGTGTGTTTACCAGCCTAAACAAGTAGCCATGCAATGGTCGAGAGAGGAGTGTGACAAATGAAGCAAAATTCAAGTTTGCTCCTACTCGATATAAAAGTTTGCGCTATAACTAAAAAAGGGGGATAATCACAGCATATAATTTCATTGAAGGATTACAAAAGCATTGATTTCCTTTCAAGTATTGCATCCTATCCATCAGAGAAAGTTCCAATCAACATAAAGAACACGGAAGACATCAAGAAGATGATTATTCATATTCCTGAAAACTTCGAAGTTTTTTATGATGACCTATTTACCTGGCCAACCACTGCATGTGACATGATACAATCGTCGAGAATGATCTTTAAGAGCATTTCACTTTGTTATGTTCCTGTTTTATGATGACTTTGCAATGCTGTGACTTCATTTTTGATATAATATGAAAAAATATAAATTTTCAAATGAATGGTTACCTTTTTCCAAGTTATTAGCTGTCTGTAAAAACCAGTTAAGTGTAAAAACAGCATAAGTCCCAATAAAATTTTAAATTTTCCTGAGCCTAATTTATGTCGAAATCAGGTAATTTTTGCATGACAGCAACATAAATTCATGTTATGACAGAGGGAAAAAAAGTTCAAATATTTGAAAATTTGGAGGGGTTTTGATGTTTTTTTCTCTCATAAAAAATTTGAAATTTGTAACAAGTGGTTTCTGCAATCAACGATTCATTTTTTGTAAGATTTCAATTGAAGATAACTTTTAAATGTAGGAACAAAACAAAAACAAACCTAGAATTTTTATGAGTTTAGTTTCATTTTTAAGAAAGGAAACCATTAAATTTTCTTGGGAGAGGGGCATGCACCATCCTAGAGAAAGGAGATGCGTCCATCCCTGCAATCTAATAACCACAGATAGAGAATAACGAGTATGAATAAGACTGATTTAGATTTAGAATAAAAACTTACTGATATTGGTCATGATTAGAAATTAAATTATATTCAAATAAATATTTCCAATAAAACATGGCTGTTTATGCTCTGTTTTTAATTTTGTTTAGTTGGTAGCTATGCTCTATGGAGTTTTAGTGTGCATTTGAAATTATAGTAGTGGAAAAAGGAAAATCTTTTATATTCAGGTTTGGAACAAACTTTATATATTTAATACTTTTACTTTATGTAATATTAATACAATAAGTGTAGTTTAAGAGTTAAAAAAAGACCTCATTTAATTGGGCTAGGACTTATTTCAATTTCCTCAGTGCATATTTAACTTTTGAATAGATGAACATATTGATGTAAATGTGGATTATAAAAAAATCACTATCTTTTTATAATAATCAAAATCTGAATCCATGTCTTTTATCACGCTCATTATGGTATAATACTGGGAAAATCAACAACTCTAGCAATAAGAAAGTATTTTTATATTATTTGTTTTATAAAAATAAGGCATGACATATCGCTGCTGTTAGTGCAAAAGGTCGTATGTAAAAATTAAATTTATTTACAAAAGAGCATGAAAACTGGTTATTTCTTTCTGATTTATAGGTATAATTTTATATTTTATTTCTCTCTGTTATTTCCCATAGTAGCAGACTACTCATAGCAGTTGCAGAATTCAAAATGTCACCTTTAGCACTAACAGTAGCGATATTTTCAAATGAATTATTTTGTTTTGATTGTAAATTTATTAAATAGAAAAAAACTTATTAAATTAAACAAAAATCCATTATAACGTGAATGTTTTTTTAAAAATAGCATTAACTTGTTTAGATGTATCAGTTAACAAAACTAACTTATTAAATTGAACAAAAAATTCATTATAAAGTCAATATTATTTTTTAAGTATTAACTTGTTTAGAAATTTAACTTTTCCCTGTTCTTTGTTGTTAATCTGAAACGATAATATTTCAGTGTTCCATCTTTGTTTTTATATTAAAATTAATATATCTGAATTATTTCATAAAAAATCTCTTTAAATATCGATATGATCAGATATTGGAATAACGAAAGACAATATCAGAATTAGCTACTGCAACAGCTGTATCGATATCCCGTATTTATTACGATTCCAAAGAGGTATATCACACTAACATAGAACCAAGAAAATAGAAAATAATTACCATGGCTAATTATAAGTTTATATAGATCACGGTGACCCTTCTCATTGGCTATATCCGCTGCATTCTTCCCTTCAATATTTGATATTAAAGGATTAGCTTTATATTGAAGGAGGATTTTGGCCCCAGAATAATGCCCTCTTTCTGCCGTCGTCATCAAGGGTGTTCCGTTTTTGGACCTTTTCAAAATGTTATTATTTTATTATTCCTTGATAATAATATGATTTAGTTATTAAAAAATAACGATCTCACATGACGTCAGGGTTAGCTCCGTTCGAAAGTAAAATTTCAGCTCCGCTAAGGTGGCCATGATCTATCGATAGACACAGGGCAGTCATACCCCTATCTTCTTTGAACTCTAATATTTCTTTCTGAAAAAAAACTATCCATAAGTATATACAATTGTTCAGTATTTACACACAACTATAATTGATGGATACTCTAGTTCCTAAACTCGCTAATTCCACGATGTATTCCATCAATCGATTGAACTCAGCAGCGATTCATGCTGAGTTTAGATTGATAGTTTACAACGACCTGCTAGGTTCTAGAGAAAGGTTAACACTCATGTAAAATTAGTAAACACGAGAAAATTAAAAAAAAATGATATAACGAAATATTGATCTAATTAATTGTTGAATTTCATAACAGAAATACATAAATATAGATAGAAAGTAAACTGAATATATTATTATGGTATTGTATAGAAATGGTCCAATTTCATTGAGTATTTGTTAATATTATGGACGAGCCGTATATGAGCGCGACGACACCCTCAAAGTAAATCTTAGAAATGCTAAGACCGTGGCGTATCATTTATAAATCATGTATAGGATCCGATATTTTCACAGAAGAGATCAACTTCTTACACTATCCTATAGAGTTCGCTACTTCAAATTTGAGAAGACCTAACGAATGGGGATGGAAAACAACTCACTGTTATCGCAAGCTCCGGAAGAATAGCAGACAAAGTTGGATGTAAGAATATATACGTAAAGTAAATTGAAAAATAATGTAACTAAGATTTAGTGGATTCATCTACCTCAAAAACCGATAGATCCGCTGAAACATCGGTTATTCATTCTCTGAACAAATGCGGTGAATTTCCTTCATGGTGTCCATCGATGAGTTTAGGAACGGCCTGGTGGATTTCTGATGTCCATCACTGAGCTTAATGATGTGTTTAAGAACTTGGCCAATCCATACTAATAGAATGAGACACTATCGGATTAGAACTAATTGTCTTTCAAAGTTTTTTTATCTGGCAAAGATGAATATTTACTAAAAATTTAATTTTCATTCGAAAACACAAATGTATTAATGATATAGATGGACTATCAGAAAATTATTCTTTTCTTAATATCCAATAAAGGATGTTTTGAGATTAGTCGTTAAGACGTAATGAGATTTGTTGATGACACAGGGGCACTTCGCACCTCTTTCTTTTTTGTATTTACAGAAAACTTATTCTCCATCAAAGCAGTTAACTCGTGCTATTAGACGCGTGATAATTTTAATTCAACTTAAACTAACGTGAAAACTAATCGATAACTCAGATGAAAATACTTAAACTCTAAGTTGACAGTGTCTAGTTCCCAGTTGATATACGATAAATTTTACACAATCCACAATATTGGGACATTAATTCGTACAATTGGAATGAACCATTTTGGATATAATTTAACTCACCTGTAATACCAAAGGCATAATATCTACATTGCCGCTGGTAGCTGCTATCATTAATGGAGTCCGGCCCTTCCCGCAAGTTAAGGCTTTGTCGACTCCAAACTTCAGCAGGAATTTAACAACCTCCAACCTGTCGTAATAGCAAGCGTACATCAGCATCGTCCAACCGTCGACATTTTTCATGTTGACATTCCGTGGACTGAAAATAATAAATTTTATCTTATTGTATATTCAGTGGCTCACAGTGAAATTGATACCCCTTGTAGAAAAAAAGAAAAAATACTTCAATGATCTTTGCTAGAAATTTCCTGTTTTCTAATTTCTACTTCCAATTTTGCCCACAGTCGTTTTACCATATAAAGATCTGATGATCGTGTAGGTGTTTCTCCGATGAAGGATGTCCTAAAGACTCGGCAGCTTAAGTGGTTTGGGCATGTCTTCAGGGTGGAAGAACACAGGGATCCATTACAGTCTATGGACTATGTCCCCGATGGTAGAAGATCCCGCGACAGACCGAGAATGTCGTACCCCGAATACCTAGACCGCCTGTGCAAAAACAGAAATAAGAATATACTCCAAGCCAGAAATCTTGCAAGAATCAGGGAAAATTGGCAATCCTGGTTAGACGCTCCCCTACGCTGAAAGGCACTACAGGGTGATGCAAAAGAAGAAGAAGACTGTGTTGGTGTTTTTATAACTTGAGGGCAGTTATAGAGAATCCATCCCTTGACTAACATGGCAGAGTGTTTGAGCTCATTATCTCAATAAAATATATATATATATATATATATATATATATATATATATATATATATATATATATATATATATATTTTTAACCCAAATTTTCCTCAATATTTTTCAAGTTTCTTCTCAAAATGTCAATGTAAAAACATATTAATTCACTATACCATGTGAATATATCCAGTGTAAAGTGTACCTTTCCTGCACCAGAAGCCGCCATACATTCCTACACCAAGAAATATAACATAAGAAAAGAACACGAAACATAACATAAGAACAAGAAAAAGAACATCAGAAAATAATTCTTTACTGGGATGTTTATTGATTGAATATAAATTGAACTATTTATTTATTCCATAATTTCTGTCAATATCCCGGTTTATGATTTTGAATGGGAGCCACTGTGTGTGTATGTATGTGTGTTTATATATATATATATATATATATATATATATATATATATATATATATATATATATATATATATATATATATAAAAGCATTATTTTCTTGAGAAACCATACTACTAAATGACTCAGCATCAAAAATTAAGCGGTAGAGGAATTCGATAAATGTAAGATGGAAAAGTATTCCCAGTCAATATTTTATTCGCTAGCTCTAGATAATATATTGGATTCGAGAAACTATAAAGCTTGAAATTTTAGCTTCAATGAAAACAAAAATAAAATTTTAAACTTAATGAGTTGCTAAATGAGTTAATCTTGGAAAAAAAGAATAAAGTAAATAATTACCAGAAACATAATGGTCTTAAAAAAAAAAATATTTTCAAAATTAATTCCAGATCAAATTTTAAAGCTACATTTGGATTTTCGAGATGTTAGACCGTTTTAACCTTTCGCGAAATAATCACAGACAGATAAATGACTGAAAATCGGGTTTTGTAGCTCAAGAGGTTAAAAAACGCAACGATTTTTGACAACGGCACATCGAAAATTTGACTCCATTACAATATTTCGCTCAGCTAATAGTTGGAAAATAATAAATATTTGTATAAAATAGAATACGCTGTATCATTGCTAGTACTGGTTCAATTTTTCTGATTTGTAAGGAAGTTTTATAAGCTTTAAAAAATACATATATGAAATTTTTACGTATTAATATTTTTGGACTAGCATATTCAACAAAAAACATTTAGATGATGAAAACTACAAGTTGTTGAGTAAGCCATTGGAGTCATGTTAAATGAGAAGATGAATCGATAGTTTAAATAATCGATGCCCATTCAAGGTAATCACCTTTCTTTTACAAGGCTTTTCTATCTCTTAGTCGCTGGCTAATAATAGACCTATTAAACAATGTTGCAACGATACAATTCATGTATCTACCAGAATGAGGGGTGCCCGTTCCCCCCTCTCTAAAAATTGTATTACTATCCAAAACCCTGTCAAAATGTGCCCCCTCAAATATTTTATGACGCTATAGGCACAGACTTTCGATTTTGATTAGACCATGGACAAAAAAAAAAAAAAAAAAAAAAAAAATGGCGTGAGTTTTTATTATGTGTAAAAATTTAATATAATTATTGTAAAACAAACAAATATAATACTGAATATTAGTTCAATTGTTGTTGTTTTTTTTTTTGTTAAGGGTTTTTGTTTATTTATTTTTCACCTATGGGAGAGAGGAGACAGACTTTACAACATTGGTACATTTTTAGAATTTTTCTAGCTAAAAATGAGTAAAGAAAAATAAATAAAACAAAAATAGAAAAATATCTTTGATTTCTTAGTGTGTACAACCTCAAATAAAAATACAACTTTATTTTCAAGTTAATTTATTATTAGCCATATTTACACCAATTTAAAAAAATATTTTGTCACTTAATGTCTACTCATCACAATGACGACGTTTCGGCTCATCGAGCCATTTTCAAGTCTAAAAATTTTTTTTCATTTACAATCATATATTAACTTTAACATATTTCAAATTATAAAGATTCTTATTATGTACCTAAAATACCCATCATGTACCTGTCCTTTTCACTTACGCGAATTGCAAGCGTCTACTCATAATAAAATTCCTTATTATTGTCATGTCTACCTTTAATTATTTTACAACATTATTATTACTCAATTCTTTACTATTAAATGATTCAAATAAGTTAAAATTACCTTGTTTCTGAGTCACCCATGTGTCATCCATCTCATTTCTATTCAGTGACTGGTTATTCTTATAGGAGTAAGGGAAGACTATTTATTATAAACATATATAATGCTGTTTCTCAATATTATATGTGGATCTATTTTAAGTAATAGTAGCTAATTTATTTCAAATTTTGATTTTTTCTAGTGAACTAGCGTAAAACGTATTCATATTATCCTGTATGATTATTTACTGAGTTTTTTAAGTTTTTAGTTATATATATTCCTTCCGTCTTTGTGATGAGTAGTCATTAAGTGACAATTTTTTTTTTAAAATTGGTGTAAATATGGCAAATAATAAATTAACTTGAAAATAAATAGTATGCACCGAAGAAGAAGTGAGTAATATTGTGAATAAAAATACAACGTTTTTTACAGTTAGACTAGTATTTCCAGGAAAATGTGATAAGAATATCATGTGAAAATTAAGAGGTGACTGAGTCTCCGTACTACTTACTTCGTGTCAGATGGAACGCCCCGAAGAAGAGCTACAACGTAGGTCGAAACGTTGGATAATTCAATAAAAATTATTATTACGTATTATGGCATTTTATATACTGACCGTACCCCCGACTAACTTCTGAAATTAGAATCTACTGGCAATCATCTTTACGCCATTAAAAAATATTTTTATTTAGTTTGCTGACATTTCGACCCAAGCCATTGGTCCGACGTTTTTTTCCGGGCTTCAAATCATTAATGATTGCTAAGAAACTATTTATATTCATCAATTTTTAAGTCTATATGTTATTTTTGCATAGCTCTTGATTTTTATTTCAGTTCATTGTCTTTGCATACTTCTTGTTTATTGAATGGTTTTATTCATAATAATTATTAGTTTATTTATTTTTTTATATATTTTTCATTTATTTATAACACACAACATTTTCTTAACATTCTGTAATATTTGTATTATTGTTATGTTTATATTACAGATATCTTATTAGTACGATTCACTTCTTTCTTCTCTTTTTTATAAATTTTTATATTTATATTTGTTTGCTGTAATTATGTATTTTTGAAATATTCTTACCACTGACCATGATCCGCAGTTTGGGTTGTAACGTCAACAAACTTGACAAAAATATATTTTTGACTGCACATGACTATTTTTCATCTTTATAGACGCAAAAGTGAATAATATATCCATTTATAAATTACTTAAATAATTATAATATAAGTTATCCTATATATTATTTCTAAAAGGTGTTTTTTTTGTCGCTACGCCATAACTTCTTTAATTCTTCACCAAATCCAATGATTGACCACTCATTTTGAACATATTCTTCTCCTTCACATGCGAAAAATAGTCCTTTGTTACCCGAAATTTCTGGGGGAAAAGTTACGAAGGAAAAGAAACTTTATTTGCGAATAACTCAAAAAGCATGCATTTTTTTTCTTGATTGTACCCATAATAATTAGAACGATTACTAAATTATCTACAAAAAAAAATCGTAAAAATCTGAAAATTATTAACAATGATACAGTCCATTAGATTTGGTATACTCAATAATGTCTTCCTGTTTAAAGATATTGCATTTAGGAGTAGAATAGTCTATTACACTTTTTTTCTGGCTGATATATTAGCTTTATTATTTTTAAAGACATTTGGTTGTTCTTACATATTATTTTTTTTAATAATTTAGAATATTCCATGATCGGGGCATTATTTTGTCTAAATTACTTTTATTATCTTTCCAATCAGCGTTTCAAAATAGGTTCTAGCAAAGCAATTTGTACATATATTTTGGTCTATTATGTTTAATGAAATATTGTAACCGACCAAGGAAAAAATATTAATTCCTTCCTTACATAATAAATGGGAACTACTTATTTCCATACTGTTTTGTTATTTTTTCACTAAACAAAATTGTCTGCGAATTTTTCTTACGGGCCAACTACTTAGTTATAATATAAATTTAGTTGGTATCACGGGCGGATCTACGGGAGGGGCTTTCGGGCTGAAGCCCTCCCCCCCCCAAAATGCTAAAATATAACCATGTTTTTTCGAAAAAAATATTTAAAAAGTATCTCTTAAAGTATTATTGTTCGTGTAATTACATTTAAAAGGGCTTTAGGAATCGCTTAAACACCATTTCATATAGGTAGTTAGCTTCTTTCTTTTTTTCCAAAGTAATTATCGTTATTTTTATGAAAAAAAAAACTTTCGGGCTGAAGCCCCCTCCAAAATTAAATCCTGGATCCGCTAGTGGTTGGTATAGTTGAACCTACTACAACTTGTAGTATACAAGCTGTAAAAATTAACGTCACAATGTAACGTAAACTTAATTTT